CCGACCACTTTATTTCGGCGTCGTCGTCGCCCTATTTCGGCGTTGTGTCGACATGTGTCGCTATGTGTCGCTCCCCAGCACCCCAGCGCACCGCCCCCTCCGCCCCGACGACTTTATTTCGGCGTCGTCGTCGCCCAGCAGCCCAGCGCGCTGCCCCCTCCGCCCCGACCACTTTATTTCGGCGTCGTCGTCGCCCCCCCCCCCTTGTCCTTTTCCCCAGCAGCCCAGCGCGCCGCCCTCCCCGCCCCGACCGCTTTATTTCGGCGTCGTCGTCGCCCCCCCCCCATCCCCCTCTCCCCAGCAACCTTGCGCGCCGCCCCCTTCGCCCCGACCATTTTATTCTTTTGCACAGCTGTGCTCTAGAGCTCGGACCTCTTTATTTTCGTTTGTTCGTCGTCGTCCCCGGCCCCTGGTCCGGTCCCGACCCTGGACCCAACCTCCCCACCCCGTCCTGGCCTCAGCCCCCCCCTCGCCCCGCTGGCCCTGGCCCTGGACCCACCCTCCCCCCCACCCGGCCCTGGCCCCAGTCCCCCTCGCCCTGGACCCTTTATTTTCGCTCGTCGTCGTCCCTGGTCCGGTCCTGGCCCTGGACCCAACCTCCCCCCTGGTCCTGGCCCCAGCTCCCTTCGCCCCGGTGGCCCAGGGCCTGGACCCAGCCTCCCCCCCGCCGGCCCTGTCCCCAGTCCCCCTCGCCCTGGACCCTTTATTTTCGTTTGTCGTTGTCCCTCTGGTCCCGGCCCTGGACCCAACCTCCCCACCAGGCCCTGGCCCCAGCCCCCGTCGCCCCGCTGACCCTGGCCCTGGACCCAGCCTCCCCCCCGGCCCTGGCCCCAGCCCACCTCGCCTTGGCAAACCCTTTATTTTCGCTCGTCGTCGTCCCTGGCAGCTGGTCCGGTCCTGGCCCTGGACCCAACTCCCCCCTTTGCTGGACCCTTTGTTTTCGTTCGTCGTCCCTGGTCCGACTGTGGCCCTGGACCCAACCTCCCCACCTGGTCCTGGCCCCGTGGAGCCCCCCTTGCCCCGCTGGGTCCCTGGTCCGGTCCTGACCCTGGACCCGACCCCCCCCTTCTGGTCCTGGCCCCAGCTCCCCTTGCCCCGCTGGCTCACGGCCTGGACCCAGCCTCCCCCCCGCCGGCCCTGTCCCCAGTTCCCCTCGCCCTGGACCCTTTATTTTCGTTTGTCGTCGTTCCTCTGGTCCTGGCCCTGGACCCTGCCTCCTCCCCTGGCCCTGGCCCCCCGCCCCCCTTGCCCCGCTGGCCCTGGCCCTGGCCCTGGACCCAGCCTCCCCCCCCCCGGCCCTGGCCCCAGTCCTCTCGCCCTGGACCCTTTGTTATTTTGCGCAGCTGTGTTCTAGAGCTCGGACCTCTTTATTTTCGCTCGTCGTCGTCGTTCGTTCGTCGTTCGTCCTCCCCCCGGCGGCCACAAAAATAAACTCCTGGAGGAAGGAGGCGAAAGCCTCCTGTCTCTCGCGGCTCCTTAGTGCAAGAGCCAGGGCACGCGTGCCACTTGTTTATTTTGTTTGTTTCTTTGTTTTTCTCTCTTTTTTCTCTCTCTCTCTCTATATCTCTTTCTCTCTCTCGCTCTCTCTCTCTTTCTCTCTCTCTCTCTCCTCCCGTCGCGTTGAATGCTTTCGCTCTCTGTGTAGCGTCGCTCTCTCTGTGTAACGTCGCGCTTTGTCTCTCTCTCTCTCTCTCTCTCTTGTCCCCTCTCTTCTTCTTCTTCTTCTTATTATTATTATTATTACTCTGTTTGTCTCTCTCTCTCTCACTCTCTCTCTCTCTTTCTTTTTTGTTGTTGCGCTCTCTTTCTATATATATATGTATATATATATGTGTCGCTGTGCGTTTGTCTGTATGTTTCGCCCCCCCTCTCTCTCTCTTTCTCTCTCCCTCTCTCTCTCTCTCTCTCCCCCTCTCTCTCTCTTTCTCACTCTCTCTCTCTCTCTTCTTTCTTTCTCTCTCTCTCTCTCTCTCGATCCCTCTTTCTCCACCTTCTCCGCCTCGGCCCCTTAGGGGGTGTCCAAACGAGGAGGGCTAACTTCAGATGTTCCGTTTTCCTGCCAGGCGGCGGTTTGCGCGCGGGGTCCCGGGGGCGCCCGCGAAGAGGGTTTGATGTGGAGCTGGCCCTGCCCGAGGTGGACCCCTGCGACGCTCGGCTTCCGCGAGAAGGGTGCAATTTGGAGTCGACCCTTCCTGGGGTGGGCCCCCGCGACGCCCGGCGTCCACGGGAGGGGTTTAATCTGGAGCTGACCCCCTCTCAGGGCGAATGCGTTGATGCTCGCCGAGCGGAGGGTTAACTCAAGAGTATGCCTTTTTTGAATTCCGGATTTCGCACTTTTTCTGGAGGAGGGGGGGGGGGGGTGAAGGGGGAGGAATGGGGCTAGAGGAGGGAGGAAGAAGGGAAATGGGGGCCGCATGGGCGCCTCCTCCTCTTCCTCCCTATATTCCTCCTCATCTTCCTCCTCTTCGTTCTTCTCCTCGTCCTCCTGTTCTTCCTCCTCCTCTTCCTTCTCCTCCTCCCCCTGCCCCCCCTCGCCCTCCCCCCCCCTCCCGCGCCTCGTCCTCCAGCGCCTCGCGCGGCTCTTCCGCTTCGCCTTCCCTCCTTATCTGCCGTGTCCCCCCTTCTTGTCCTCGCTTCTCCTCGCCCTCCCCCTGCTCCTCCTCTCCCACTATTCCATCCTCGTGTTCCCCTGCTCCTGTTCTCCTATTCTTTCATGCCGTCCTATCTCCTACTTGTCCTCTCTCCTTTTCGCCCTCCTCGTCCTCGTTCGCACTATTTCATCCTCGCCCCCCCCCCTGCTCCTCCTTTCGGTTAGTCCTGCGTCGAGAGGGGGACGAGGCGGGATGAGGAGAGGAGGGCGGAGGAGGAGGGGAAGGAGGAGAAGGGGGAGGAACAGGATGATGATGGGGAGGAGGAGGAGGAGGAGGAGAAGGAGGGGGAGGAGGAGGTGGATGTGGCGGAGGAAGAAGGAGGACGAGGAGGAGGATGATGTGGAGGTAGAGGTGGAGGTGGAGGAGGGATAATGAGGAAAAAGAGGAAGGGGAGGAGGAGGATGAGGGGGCGGAGGAGGAGGACCGGTGTAAACCCAAGAGTCATCACCGATGTTAGAGTGAACCCTTTCTGCAATCTCCCTCTCCGTAGGCCCCAACAACGGTTCATTTCCATTGAGGAAACTGCCTCGTTGGAAGACCACCGCCTCAAGATCCTGAAGCGTGCCAAAACATTGCCCTCGGGAGTTCAACGCCACGTATCAACTTGACTGCTGCGTCTTGACGATCCGGATTCGTGCCAGAATGCTATTTTGGGGATTTCAACATCGCGAATCAACAATTGCTGCGACCGCATAATCCTGAATCTTTCCAAAGCACCGTGAACCTCTTGCAAGTGGTTAAAACGAATGTGCGCGGCGCTGAAGCGATAGCAACAGTTTGAAACAAAGGAACCGCATCAATCCGTGAAACTCTTGCAATCTCTCAGAACGATTGTGCGTAACGCTAGGGCGAGAGCCACATATTAAAAAGGAACCGCCCTCAATCCGCGAAGCTCTGGCCAAATTGTATAACAAAGTGCGTGGCGCTAATGCGAGAACCACATTTTGCAACGGAACCGCCCTCAATATGTGAAGCTCTTGTAACTGTTTAAAACGAATGCGCGCGGCGCTAAAGCGATAACCACATGTTGAAAAAGGTGCCGCCCTCAATCCGTGAAGGTTGTGTAACATGTTGAAACGAATGTGCGTGGCGCTAAAGCGATAGCCACATGTTGAAAAAAAGGAGTGCCCTCAATCCGTGAAGCTCTTGCAAAGGTTTAAAAACGAATGTGCGCGGCGCTAAGGCGAGAGCCACATTTTGAAAACGGCCCGCCCTCCATCTGTGTTGCCAATGTTTAAGCTTCATAATCATAAAATGGTAAGGAAGTCTCAGGCGAAACGCCCGGCCCGCCTTAAAAACTTGCCTCGGGCCTCGGGATGCGACAGGGAGAAATTCTGTGGGAGGAGAAGAAATGGAGGAGGAGGAGGACGAGGAGGAGGAGGAGGAGGAGGAGGAGGAGGAGGGAGGAGGGAGGAGGGAAGAGGGTTGAAGGAAGTGAAAGAGGAGGGAGGAGGGAGGAGGGACGGAGGGCCGGATGGGCGTTCCCTGCTCGCGTTTCTCCCCCTTTTCCATTTCTCCGCCTAGTCATTACCCTCGTCCTCCTCCGTCTATCCCCCCTCTTCTCCTCCTCCTCCCCCCGTGCTCCTGCTCCTCCTCCTCCTGCTCCTCCTCCTCCTCCTCCTCCTCCTCGCCTCCTCCTCCCTCCTCCTCCTCCTCCTCCTCCTCCTCCTCCTCCTCCCCTCCCCCTCCCCCTCCTCCTCCTTCTCCTCTTCCGCCTCCTCCTTTTCCTCTTCCTCCTCCTCCTCCTCCTCCTCCTCCTCCTCCTCCTCACCCTGTTCCCTATCCGGCAGTCCTGTGTCGAGAGGAGGGCCTTCACGGAGGACCGCGGACGGCCAGGCCAGGTTGGGGAGGCCGAGCGGGGGAGGACCTGGGGGCGGGGGGGACCGCGAGCTCGACGGGCCAGGCAGCAGGGGGAGCCCGATCGGCGGGCGGGTGGAGCCCGAGCAGGGGGGGGGGAAGAGACGGAGCTGCGCGGGGTGGGTGGAGGAGTGGCCGGGCGGGGGCCGCCGGGTGGGGGGTGAGGGGGGGGGGGGCGCTGGGGGCGGAGTGGCGCGCGGGGTGCGGGGGAAGGGTGAGAGTCGGGGGGCCCTGGGGCCCGGGCCTCGCATGTGCTCGCGCCGGACGTTTCCGCAGCGTTCTGGGGCCCCGAGGCCCTCCTGGGTCGGTCTCGAGAAGTGCCGCAGGGTGGTGGGGTCGAGGCTGCCGCGATCTTGCTCGAGCTGCCAGGGGTCCCGCGGATCAACGGCGGTCTCCTGAGGCCGAGCGCTGCGAGCAGCAACCGGCAAGCAAACAGCACGGCCGCCTCGGCCCTGCTCGAGTCGCAGCCAGGGGACCACGCCGGGGGTGCAGGGGCGGGGGCCCCTGGCGGGGCGGCAGGACGAGGCCCTTCTTGGCGGGGAGGCCCCGGGCCCCGGGCCCCCGCCTGCGGCGGGCGGAGGCTGTGCGGCCCTGCTCCTCACGGTTGTCGGGATTTTTTTTGTGGTGCAGAGTTTGCATGCTCGTGCGTGGGTGTCCGCGCGCAGGGCGCAGAAACAGGAGTGCGCCGCCCTGCCAGTTCAGAGGAGGAGCTGGAGGAGCAGGGGCCACCGCCACCGAGCTCCACCTGGGTGGGGCGACCCCTGGGCGCTGACACGGGCAAGCGTCGTCCTGTGCTGAGTGGCGCTCGGTGGTGCCACCGCCCAGGGTCCACTTGCCGCTTGCCCTGCCCCCCGATGAATTCTCGCGGTGGCGGTGGTCTCTGTTTCTCTTCTGAAGAGTGGCACAGCTGCGCCGAGTGCGGGCGGAGACGGGGCATGATTCGATCGCCATGGAGCATTCTGCGTATAGGGAAGGCCTTGCGGCCGGAGCCGCCGACCTTGAAAGGGGACGACGACCACGACGGCGGCGTCGGCGGCGACGACGACGCTGACGTGGGGCAGAGTCCTCAGGGATGCTTAGTGGGTCCTTTTTGGAGCGCGCTCGTAGTCTTAGGCCTCTGGGGGGCAGTTTGGGGGCCTCTTGGGAGCATCTTGGGTGCCTCTTGGGAGCCTCTTGGGGGTCCCTCCGGGCTTCCTGGGGGCCTTGTGGGGGCCTTGTGGGGCCTCGTGGGAGCTTGTCGGGGCCGAGGGCTCGAACGTGTCCGTTCGGGCTGGGGCCTCTTTTGGCCTCGTGGGGGCCTCTTGGGGCCTCCTGGGGGGCTCCTTGGCTGTCGTGCATCCGACGGACACGTCAATTTTTGGGGGGTGCCCAGTGCTGCAGTCGATCTCCTGCTCGAAGGGTGAAGAGCTCGCCCCTCGGAGAGGCCCTGCGGGATCTGGCGCCCGCTCGCTCTTCAGGCCCCCCCCCCTCTCCCCTTCGATGCGCAACGTTCGGCGGCGAGCGAGGGGGGGAAGTGAGAACGAGAATGGCCTTCTCAGAAGGCGGCGGGACTTCCAAGAAGCCCTCGCGCCTTCTGAGAAGGTTTTGTCTTAGGGAAAGGCTCAGGAAACTTCTCAGAAGGCCAGGGGACTTCCAAGCCCTCTCAGAAGGCCGTCTCCTTCTCACTTCCCCCCTCGCTCGCCGCCGAGATGAACAAAGTCCGAGGTGACAGATCGGACTTCTGAAGGCTGTACTTCTCCTCCGCATTTGTTGCCACGACCTGGTCAGCAGGCCTCGAGCGCACGTCCTGTGGAGCACCCTCTGCAGATCGAGAGGCTCGGCCCACACAGCGTGAGGCCGGCCGGATTCACCAGCGCACGCTTGCACAGCAAAGCTTGCTGAAGCCGTCGAGCCTCTCGAGGACGGGGAGCGGAGCGCGTGCCCGCCTGCCTGCCCGCCGTGCTGTGCCTCACTGTTGCCGGGCCCGGGCTTTGACGCGCTGGTGGCGGTGCCTCAGCGGGCTGGCGCGCAGCCCAGGATCACAGCAATCCCAGAGGAGGGAAGCGCATAACGATACCGCTACCCTTGCGCCTCGTTTTTTCTCACACGTTTGGTGGGGTTCTTGTGTTCTTCCCACCCCCGTGTCGCACCCGCGTCTTTCTCACACCCGCCCTCCTCCCCTCCCCCTACTCCTCCCCCTCATCCTCCTCCTCCTTCTCCTCCTCCTCCTCCTCCTTTCTCCCCTCACCCACGCACAGCACATGCACGGCACGTATATGAGACATGCGTCAGCATACAGCCGCACGCATGTACACATTCGCATACACACCATGCAACGCTAGTGCACGCCTGCCGTGCTCACTGCACCATGCACCATTGTGCGCCACATACTGACCACCCGCAGAGGACACACGTCCACATACAGCCTGACACACATCGTACACATACACATGACACACACCGACGCAGACCTAGTCACCCTCGTGCAGTCACAGGGGGTGGTCCCTCAGTGCTGTCGCTGTCCGTGCCAGGCTCGCAAGGCGTGGCAGGCTCGTCACTTCCTCGACACCACAGGGGTGCGCTGGGGGTGGTCCCGCTATCCATTTTGAGCTCGCAGAGCGTGGCATGCGCGGCACTTCCAGGACACCACAGGGTGTGCGCAGGGGGTGGTCCCGCTATCCGTTCCGGGCTCGCAAAGCGTTGCAGCTGTGGCACGTCCTCGACATCACAGCGGGTGCGGTGTTGGTGGTCCCGCTATCCGTCCCGGGTCCGTACAGCGTGGCAGACGTGACACTTCTTCGACACCACAAGGGGGTGCGCTGGCGGTGGTCAGGCTATCCGTTTCGGGCTCGCAAGGCGTGGCAGGCGTAGCACTTCCTCGACACCACAAGGGGACGCTGGGGGTGGTCCCGCTATCCGTTCCGGGCTCGCAAAGCGTGACAGGCGTGGCACGTCCTCGACACCACAGGGGGTACTCTTGGGCTGGTCCAGATATCCGTTTCGGGCTCGCAAAGAGTGGCAGGCGTGCCACTTCCTCGACACCACACCGGGTGCGCTGGGGGTGGTCCCGCTATTCGTTTCGTGTTCGCAAGGCGTGGCAAACGCGGCTCTTTTTCGTCACCACAGGGGGTGCGTTGGTGGTGGTCCCGCTATCCGTTTTGGGTATGCACCTCGTGTCAGGCTCCCAAGACTTGACTGTTGTCACCAACGGTATCGGCGGGGCAACGGCCACCGTCACCATTCAGCCATCATCACGCCCGACATACTAGAAGTATGTGGGTTTCCTCGGTAGCGTAATTATTTTGTAGGACGTCCTGGGTGCCCCTCGTCGCCACCGGTGGGCTTGCTTGGAAGCCATGGTCAGAACGCACCCCAGTAATCCGAAAGCCGTAATAAGGTGACCTTTTGGGCCCTCTGTGGCAGAGGGGGGAACTGTGGAGACCTTTTGTGACCGAGGGCCTCGTCATCCTTGTCCTCGTCACCCTGCTTCTCGCATGTCGTCTCCCATGTTAATTAATTCAGCACTCATCACCTTCGCGTTTGCGAGCGCTGTCGTGTTTTTTTTTTTTTTTTTTTTTTGTTTTTTTATATTATTGGTTTCCATGCTACCGTTGACAATAAGCACCACCTTCTTCTCAGTTGCCACTGTGCCGCGCCATCCACTTCGTCACCACCCATCGCTTGCATTTCCTCCTTCTCTTCCGCCCTTTTCTTCCTTGCTGATTCGTTTTCTTTTAGGCACCCACATCATGTTCCCTCTTCCGTCCTCCTTGCTTCCAACTTCTCAGCCATCCAATCACATCGCGTCGTCTGTCGCCGTTATTCTCAAACCCTCCCGCGCGCGCGGGATCGCCCGCCAGCAACGGTGCAGTCGGGCCGATCGCGGCCTCAGACGGGCTAGCGCGATCCTAGGTCAATGGACGATGCAAGTGGACACAAACGGGGTGGTGCGGCAGAGTGGTGGTCCAGCCGCAGCAGCGGGTGGGGTGGCTGGGAGGATGGCCATGATTAGTCAGCGCGCGGGTGGGGAGAGTGGCGATATGACTGGAACGCGCGAGCGGAGGATTCCAAATGGCGCGATGGCCCTACCGCCGCAGCAGCGGCGGCGGTCGCGCCCACGCGGCCGTCTCGCTTCGCCGCGCTAGGCGTCGTGAGCCCCCGCGCCCCTGGCCTGGGCAGGCCCGACTGGGATGATTTCGCGAGGGCTGCTATCCGCAGCTCGCCGCGACCTGGGGGTACATTTCCAGAAGGGGGCTCGGGATCCCAGGCCGCGCCTCCAGCGCAAGGGCCCCCCGCTACCGCAGCAGCGGCGGCGCGCGGGCCACGGGCGCATGACAGGAACCTCAGAACTGGCGCTGGTGGCGCGGGGATTGGTGGGACAACGGGCAGGGCGACTGGAGCGAGTGGCGACGGCCGAGCGTTGCCGCTTCCTCGGGCCAGGACAACGGGCTCGAAGCCGCCTGGCGCGAAATGGCAGATGCAGCTTGCGACGACAGGGCCGCCTGGCGCAACTGGAACAGCGGGCGCTGAGAGAGGCGCATCACGTGGAACTGGGTGCGCAGCCACACCGACCGCAACCCCTGGGCACAATTTTCTTGACCGGCGGCAGAGAGGCCGTCACTCCGCATCAGCGGAGGGAGGCCTCATCGGTCGAAAAGGCGCCCCTCCGCAGCAGCGGGGGCCATGGCAGCGCATCGTGAGCGGCGGCGCGTCGCGCGCGCCCCCGTGCTCGGCGGCCGCTGCCCCAGCGGGGCGGGAGAAAGAAGCGGTGTTGCCGTCGGTGCTATCATCGATGCTGTCGTCGTCTCCTCTCCTTCATCCTTTGCTTCTCCCCCCGCCCCGACCCCCCATCCCGCCATCGCACTTTTCTGCCCTCTCTATCGTCTCCAGTCGTAGCGGGAGCTCCCGCGGCAACAGAGCGCGCAGGACGAGTTCCTCTGTGACAGAGGAGTCTTTGAAACCGACCCTCTGTGACAGGGGTGGTCAAAAATCCCAGAGGTCACGTTATTGCGGCTCTTGGATTATAGACCCGAGTTGCGGAATCGGTATCCTTTTGGCCACCTCTTTCCTTCAGACAGGCAGCCATATCATCTGCTCCTGGCTCCGAAGCTTTCGACTCGCCCTTCGCCGCGGCGCGCGCGTTGTACTGGGCTGGCGCCCCCTGTCTCCGCGAGCCCCATTCGGACGACCGTTCCCCTCGCACTCTGTCAGGGCAGCGCTGCTCTCCGGCTCTCCCTGGTGAGTCCCGGTCCTCCCCGCGCGGCTCCTGCTCGGAACCCGACGAGGCAGCCGCCCTGTGCTTGAAGCCCTGCGCAGCCCGCGCGGCGCCGCCCTCTGCCCTTCGGCCGCCCTCTGCCTCGTTCCGCCCCCTCTCCCGTAGGGTGCAGTAGTCGGGCCGAGGTATAAGCTCGCGGTCGGCTCGGGAGGGCGCTACCCTCATGTGCCCCGTGCTTGTTTGTATTCTAGTGCATCCTGGGGGGGTACCCTTGGATGATCTGTGCATTTTGGCCAGCGGAAGGTCCGTGTTCGTGAGGGAGGTCGTCTGGCCCAGGTCTGGCTGCAACTCCCTGTCCTGCGCCCCGCTGCAGGCTCGGACTCGGGCCGCGCGACCGCCGGCGCCGCGACGAAGAGCTGCCGCCTCCCGTGCAGCCCTCCGTGGGCCACGGGCACCTCCTGGCGACCGGCAGCGCGCCGCGCCGCCGGCGGCGGCCGCGTCCTCCCTCGTGCGGGTCGGGCCCCCGCTCCTGCACCGAGGCTTCTGGCGAGATGTTTTTAAGGGGGCGAAGAATGGCATACACATAACAATTCGGAGGTCCGCGCGGATTTTTCAGTTCGGCGCTGGAACCCCTTGCTGGCGCCTCTGGCACCGCCCCTGGCGCGCTCCGCGCGCCAGGGAAGGGGGTCCAGCGCCGATCCGAGAAATCCGCGTGGACCTCCGAATTCTTATGTATTGTAGTTTTTCGTTCCCCTAGTTTTGCCAAGTCCCTGCGCTTGCCCGCACGCCTTTCGGGGGCCCCCAGAGGCCGCCAAAGAGGGAGGGATGCAGGGCGCAGAGCCGCTCTCGGGGAAGGGGTCGGGAGCTCCGGGGCCGCGGACTGGAACGCCCCAGGACCGTCAAACATGGGTCCGAGGTGTTGGGGGCGGCCAAGAAGGGGGTGATGACTAGGGGGGTGGATATCTTGGCGAGGGCCATGAGATCTCCCATGTATCATGGCGCCTACTCTTGTTTCAATGCGTCCCCGCCCCCCCCCCGCCCCGCCGTGCCGCGCACATGCCGCCGACCATGACTTGCGCACCCCCCTGTGGGACGTCCCCCTCTCCTGGCCGCCCCCGAAACTGCCAATCGGCGCCCGTCGACAAACGCGATGCTGCGAGCGCGGGGGAGACTACGGTCGAAGTGGAACCCATTTGACCACCCGCCAATTTTGAACCTTGGGGGGGAGGGGGACGCGTTGCCCGATGAGCATGCGTGCTCGCTATTGGGCTGGCCTCCGGCCAGTGACGCCGATCTGGGGGGGCTCCGGAAGTTGAGTTTTCTATACCCCCTTGTCCCCGGGTACCGAAAAGCTTTGGAAATGACGTCGGAAATATCCCCGTGCACCGAAAAACGTAGGAAATGACGTCGGAAATAACGTGCGCCCCTCCCCCCCCCTGCAGAGCGAAGCTTGGGCGAGCTCAAGTCCACGCTCTCAGAAACCCACACGCCGGATCGGCGGATTTTTTTTTTCCGAGGCCTGGAGCTCATCGGGGCCGCGGAGTGGAGCCGCCACCTCGGAGCCTGCCTGGGCCTCTGCCCCGGCTCCTGGCCCAGCCCGCCTCTGCGTGGGTCTCCCGCGTCTCTAGGCGTGGGCGGCGGGCGGTCTCGCAGCCGCTTCTGCACGGCCGCCGGGGCCGCCCCCCCCCCCCCCCGGGTCGCGATGCCGCACGTGTTCGACAGCGACAAGGGCTTCTTCGTGCAGGTGGTCCTCGGAGAAGAGAGCACGCCATGAACATGAACTGTTGGCGCTCCGCGCCGATTTCTTGGATATCCGCGCTGCGCCCCCCCGCCCCCTCCCGGCGCGGCGCCTCCGGCGCCGCCCCTGGCGCGCCAGGGAGGGGGGTCCAGCGCAGATCCAAGAAATCCGCGCGGAGCGCCCAAAGGTTATATGCTCATGGCGTGTTTCCTGTTTCCATGTCCAGACCTCCCAAGTGGGGTCCGAGCAGATGGGGGCCGAAGGATCGCTCCGCATCGGCGGTGCGGCTCGACGTGGAGCCAGAGCGCTTCTCCGTGCCGATGGCGCCGATGCGTCGGCGATTCTCCGACCCTGCCTGCCTGGACCCCACTTGGGAGGCCTCCAGGTGCACGCCCACCGCCTGCCCGCCCGTCCCACGGGGCAGGTCAAAAAGAGGCAGCGCAACGCCGAGTACGTGAAGGGCCTCTTGCAGCGGGAGGACGAGAGGAAGCGGCCCTCACCGCAGGAGCGGCGAGGAGGGCTCGAGGATCGAGGTTCTGAGGCGTGTTTGGCACACTGTTGGCCTCCGGGGGCCTCCGGAGTCCTCAGGACACATCTTCATCTTCCCCTTCCCTCGCCCTCCGCACCCCCCCTTCTCTTCCCTGGAAGAAGAGACAGTTGCACTACTGCGAGCTTTCGGAGCTCCGCGCGGATTCCTGGGATCGGCGCTGGGGGCCCCCCTGGCGGCGACCCTCTGGCGACGCACCTGGCGCGCTCCGCTCTCGCCGGGGATGGGGGGACCAGGCGCCGATCCGAGAAGTCCGCGCGGAGCTCCGACGGTTGCTTCCTGTCCGTGCTTTGGTCAGAGGAGCAAGAAACCATGAACATGATACGTGGCAAGACTTCCCAGGTCTCCAAGAGTTCCGCGACCTCCTGATGTCCCACGCGGGCTGCAGAAGCGAGGTCCCAGCCTTGTCACGACGTCACTCTTGCCCATATATGTTTCGGCGGCGCGCCCGGTGGGAAAGCGAGAGGGGGCGGCCTTCTCGGGAGGTGCCGGAAGCCGTCCCCCGCAGAGGCGGACAGCTTGTCCACGGGCCCGAGGGCAGCCGAGAGGTCCCGCCGCCTGCTGAGAAGGCCTTCTCCTCGCTTCCCCCCCTCGCTCGCCGCCGACAGAGATCTGCCGCTCGGATTTTGGTTCCACCCGCGGCCCCAGAGCTCCCCGCCCCGAGGCTGTCTTGCCGTCCCACACCCGCCTGCGGTGGCCCTGCAGGGCCCCATGGATGGTTCGACGTCGAGAACCATCACGAATAACAGAGCCCTGAACCCGAATCACACAGTGAAGACGTGGCCTCAGTGAGGTCCCCTTTTTCGCATGAGGGATGATGCGCCTTGGCGGTTTGCTTTTTTGATGCCTCTGCAGAAAAGGGCTCCTGTCCCCAATGTCTGTGGCCCTCCTGACTTCGGCCCCCTTCCAGAGGGTAACGGGTCTTTTTTTGGGGGAACCCGACTTTTCGCCGCCTCGCCGCCAGATCTCATTCTCCTGCCTCCCCCCGCCTGGCGCCAGGGGAGCTGGCGAGGAGGGGGCCGCCGCCGCCGTCGCCGCCGCCGCCGCCGCCGCCGCCGTCGTCGTCGTCGCCGCCGTCGTCGCCGCCGTCGTCGTCGCCGCCGCCGCCGTCGCCGCCCGGCGCCCTCGAGGAGCGGGCCGAGCGGCGGCCTCCCGCGGAGGCAGGCCGAGGCCAGGGGCGGCCTCGCCGACCCCCAGCAGGCCACCCCCTTCCCCGTGACGTCCCCCCCCTCGCCTCGCCCGAAGAGGAAGTCGGGCAACCTACTGGGCATGCCCCTCTACCTGGGGGGAGCGATGAAAGGCAGTCGGACAAATCGTGTGGGGACGGCGTTTCGATTATGATTGACTCTTTTGGGGTGTCGTTTCGCTTTTTCACTGTTTCCTCCAACATCCGCCCGCAGGAGGACATGCCCGACCTCTAACCCTAAGACGTATGTATGCGACCAGGGGGGGCTGGGGAGGCGAGGATGACGCCACGGAAGGGGACGGTCTGCGAGGGGCCGGTTGGGCCGCGTCCGACGAGGAGCGGGAGCCGAGCCAGAGGAGGGCCCGAGGCGGCGGGAGGAGGCGCGGCAGCGGGCGGAGGAGGCCGCCGCCGCCGCCGCCGCCGTCGCCGCCGCCGCCGCCGTCGTCGTCGTCGTCGTCGTCGTCGTCGTCGTCGTCGTCGTCGTCGTCGTCGTCGTCGTCGTCGTCGTGGCCGTCGTCGTCGTGGCCGTCGCCGTCGTCGTCGTCGTCGTCGCCTTCGCCGTCGTCGTCGTCGTCGTGGCCGTCGCCCCCGCCGTCTTCGTCGCCCGCCGCCACAAGCGCAGAGGCGGAGGGAGGAGGACATGGTGCCCATACCGCTACCCTTGCCTCGTCTTTGCCTTTCTGGGCCTCCTGGGAAGACCTCGTCGCCACCGCTGGATTCGCCTCGAGACTCTGGTCAGAAGGCCCCCCGGGAGAGGTCCGGGGAGTAGCAGTGTAGCAGTACTATTGCGTTTTGGTTTCCCCAGAGTTGGAGGGATGAGGCGGAGGAGCAGGTGAGCCTTGCAGGGAAAGGGTCCCGATGGGATTTTTTTCTCAGGACCCGTTCCGAACGGGTCCCGAGTTCTTTTTGTGTGCCGTTTTCGGGCTCTCGGGGCCCTCCACGGGCCCCGGGACCGTGAGAGCATGATGCACGCTGAAAACACGTCCTGGGGACATGCCGCAGGGTCCAGGACCAGATTTCCCTCGGGACACGTCTCCCGCATGCCAACAGGTGAGCGACAAAGGGAAGTGGGACATGACAGCCCACCCCCACCTCCGGCCAAGACCCCCGCTCCCGACCTGGTGATCCAGGGGGTTCCTGGCTGGGGGTGGGGGTTGTTTTCGCTGTGTTCGTAGGGGCCGAAGACCTTGGCATCGCTCGGACGTGTGAATTTTTCTTTCGGCGAGGACCATCGAGGAGCATCCTTGATCATTTGGCGAAAAAAAACGCACGAAACCGGAAACAGCATAGGGAATGGACGTCCGAGCGATGGCGAGAGACCCACCCTCGGCCCCCGCCGGGACACCCTATACATCACCGGGCCGGGAGAGGGGGCATTGGGCGGAGGTGAGCTGTATTGCTCTTGGCGGGGGGTGGGGGCGAGGTGTGCTGCCCGGCAGAGAAACGAGGCCGATATCGCGCGGACCTTCGCTCCCGTGGGCTTCCCGCGCGGGCGGGGCCGCGCGTGAGCGCCCTCTTTGTGCCACGCGGTGTGCCACGCGGGCGGCCCGCGTCCAGCCGCGGCGAGGCAGGTTGCCGCGTCTTCGCGGGGGGAGGCCCTCCTCCTCCTCCTCCTCCTCCTCCTCCTCCTCCTCCTCCTCCTCCTCCTCCTCCTCTTTCTTCTTCTCCTCCTCCTCCTCCTCCTCCTCCTTCTTCTCCTCCTCCTCCTCCTCCTCCTCCTCTTTTTTCTCCTCCTCCTCCTCCTCATCCTCCTCCCCCATCGTGGGACTCCTCCCCGCCCCCCTGGTCGTCGCTCCGGCGGCGGAGGCGGAGCGGAAGCGGCATGCGGCGGAGGCCGCGGCGGAGGAGGAGCGGCAGAGCAGGGAGGAGGAGAAGGCGCGCAAGGCTGCCGAGGCCGAGAAGAAGCGGAGGGAGGAAGAGGAGGAGAGGAAGAGAAAGAAGGAGGAGGAGGAGGCGGAGCGCAAGGCTGCCGAGGCTGCTGAGAAGAAGCGTCTCGCGGCGGAGGCGGCCGAGGCGAAGCGGGTGGAGGAGGAGAGAAAAAAGAAAGAGGAGGAGGAGCGCAAGGCTGCCGAGGCAGCTGAGAAGAAGCGTCTCGCGGCGGAAGCCGCCGAGGCGAAGAGGGCGGAGGAGGAGAGAAAAAAGAAGGAGGAGGAGGAGCGCAAGGCTGCCGAGGCCGCGGAGCAGAAGCGTCTCGCGGCGGAGGCGGCCGAGGCGAAGCGAGTGGAGGAGGAGAGAAAAAAGAAGGAGGAGGAGGAGCGCAAGGCTGCCGAGGCTGCTGAGAAGAAGCGTCTCGCGGCGGAGGCGGCCGAGGCGAAGCGAGTGGAAGAGGAGAGAAAAAAGAAGGAGGAGGAGGAGCGCAAGGCTGCCGAGGCCGCGGAGCAGAAGCGTCTCGCGGCGGAGGCCGCCGAGGCAAAGCGGGTGGAGGAGGAGAGAAAAAAGAAGGAGGAGGAGGAGGAGCGCAAGGCTGCCGAGGCTGCTGAGAAGAAGCGTCTCGCGGCGGAGGCGGCCGAGGCGAAGCGGTTGGAGGAGGAGAAAAAAAAGAAAGAGGAGGAGGAGCGCAAGGCTGCCGAGGCAGCTGAGAAGAAGCGTCTCGCGGCGGAAGCCGCCGAGGCGAAGCGGGTGGAGGAGGAGAGAAAAAAGAAGGAGGAGGAGGAGGAGCGCAAGGCTGCCGAGGCTGCTGAGAAGAAGCGTCTCGCGGCGGAGGCGGCCGAGGCGAAGCGAGTGGAAGAGGAGAGAAAAAAAAAGAAGGAGGAGGAGGAGCGCAAGGCTGCCGAGGCCGCGGAGAAGAAGCAGAAGGACGAGGATGAGCGGAAGCGCAGGGATGCAGATCGGAAGAGTGCGGCCGCCGACAAGCAGCGCGGGCCGGTGGACGACAAGAAGAGGGACGCGGCGTTTGCCGCGCTGCGCTCGGCGATGGGCGGGGGGGAGCCCGAGGCGCTGGCGGCGGCCCTCGCGAAGGCCCGCGAGGCGGGCGTGGCCGCCGAGGCCCTGGAGGACGCGGAGGAGATGCTCGCCGAGCTCGAGGCCGAGGAGGCCCTGGGCAAGGCGATCGCCAGCCAGGACGTGCAGAAGTTGAGGGCGGCCATCGCCAAGGTTCGGCGACAGCACAGGGTATGGTGGCGCCAGGATGTGGTCTGCGATCGGCGCCGTGGGGGCCTGGGGTCGGGACGCCCAGAATGTGTACGGTGCCCAGCAACAGATGTTGCCCCAAACCGACAGCGGCCGCTGCTGGGCAGGCGGCTTCGTGTCTGCAGCGAGCAGCGTCCGCGGCGGCGCGGACAGCGAGTCCTGTCCCCCAAAGAACGGGGGCTGCTGCTGGGCATCGCACCCATTCCTTCCGCACCCGCTTCGATCGTCCCGATGGGGGGCACGACGCTGTCCTCTTCGTGCCGCCTCGGGGCGCGGCGGAGAGCTCCGGCGAGGGCCTCGCCCGCCCCCCCACCGGGATGCCCCCCGGGGTGCTGCTTGCAGACCGCACCCTCTGCAGGCCGTGCCCTTTGGGGAGTCGCCGAGAGGCGGAGGCGGCAGGGCTGGACGAGGACAACGCCACCCTGGAGGAGGCGAAGGACACCCTGTGCGAGCTGGGCGGCGACGAGGACGAGGAGGAGGAGGAGGACCAGGAGCAGCTGGAGGACGAGCGGCAGCTCGCAGAGGAGCTCCTGGCAGACGCTGCCGGAGACGACGACGCGGCGGCCCTCGAGAAGGCGCTGGAGCGGGCCAGGAAGGCCGGCGTCGGCGCCGACAGCATCGCGGAGGCCGAGGAGAGGCTCGAGGAGGTGCGGAGGCTGGCGCAGGCCCCGGGCCCGCAGCAGCCGGCAGCGGAGGAGGAGGAGGAGGAGGCGAAGGCTGCCGCGGAGGAGGAGCTGGCGGACGCCGCGGGCGGCAGCGACCTCGGCGCGCTGCGCAGGGCCATGGCGAAGGCCGAGGCGGCCGGCGTCGACGCGGAGCTGCTGGCGGAGGCCCGGGAGCGCGCGGAGGAGCTCGAGGCGGGCGGCGAGGAGGAGCGGGAGGGGGCCGCTGGCGGGAAGGGGCCCCCGGGCGCGCCAGAGGCCGCCGTGGAGGCGCCGCGGGTGTCCGCGTCCGCCTACCGCGCGTTCGAGGCGGACGACGGGGCCAAGCAGATGACCGCCAGCGCCCCCGAGTTCGTCCCCGGGGCTCGCGGTTGGACCGTCAACCTCGTGAAGACGAACCCGGAGGCCGTGAAGGCCAGGAGGCAGGGCGCACCCGACATCTCCGAGAGTTCCAAGAACATGCCGACATACCAGCGGAAGGATTTCATACTTGGCTCTGTCCGCAAGAACACCGTAACCGTCATCAGCGGAGACACGGGTTGCGGCAAGTCCACGCTGATCCCACAGCTCATCTGCGACGCAGAGAACTTGATCCCCGACGACAAGGTGATCGTGTGTACCCAGCCGCGCCGCATTGCAGCCATCACCCTAGCGCAGTATGTCGCGGCTGATCGCGGCCAGGAGCTGGGCGACGAGGTGGGCTACCAGATTCGCTTCATCAACGCATTCAGCGAGCACACGAGGCTCATCTACGCGACAACCGCTATTATCATGCGGAGGCTCCACTCAGAACCAGAGCTGGAAAGCATCGGTTGTCTCATTATTGACGAGGTACATGAACGCGACGTCTACACAGACCATGTGTTGCTGCTGATCAGGAATGCGATGATGGAAGGCCGGATGCAACACCTCAAGATTGTGTTGATGAGCGCCACGCTGAAGGCAGAGGATTTTGCCGGCTACTTCGCTGGCGTCAATGGTGACCAGGCGCTGAAGCCCGTGAATATCCCTGGGCGGATGTACCCCGTGGAGGACTACTACTGGGAGGATGCGTGCGAGTGGATGAAGTTCTGCCCGCCGTTGCCGCGAGCGGGCGGCAAGGGCAAGGGCAAGAAGGGCGGCAGTGATGCTGGACAGAAGCCGGACGACAACACGATCTGGAAGATCCACGACAGGATCAAGGGGTGCGACGTCGCCAAGGGCAGGCCAGGTGCCGAGCGCGTGGAGTCCTACGGCGAGACCGCGCTTCTCGCGTGCTACTGCTGGAAGGAGAACGAGGTCTACATGGACCTCATCATGGACCTCATCTTTTACTTCCACAAGCAGCAGCCTAAGGGGGACGGCGCCATCCTCGTCTTCCTGCCAGGGTGGGGCGACATCTCCAAGGCTTTCATCGAGCTGTACAGGTCTGGCGAGAACTTCAAACTCATCGCCTTGCACTCACTCATGACACCAGAGCAGCAGCAAGAAGCTTTTGAGAAACCGCCGAAGGGTAAGAGAAAGGTGGTGCTATCCACAAACATTGCTGAAGCTTCTGTGACGATCAACGACGTTGTCTACGTCATTGATTGTGGCGTTCGTAAAGAGCGGTCGTACGATCCGAAAACGTCGGTCAGCTCTTTAGATGCGAAGATGGTTACCAAGGCGAATGCTATCCAGCGCCGTGGTCGTGCTGGTCGTGTGCAAGAGGGTTTGGTTGTGCACCTCTTCCCGAGCTATTCAGCTGCCTGCGGCACCAGTCCACCTTGCCAGCGCAGTCTTGAAATGCATGCAGGGTGGTTATACCAAGGTCTCTGAACAGGTGTCAGAACCATCGTCGCACCACCATCGGAGAAGCGGTTTTACGATGCTGTAGGGTGGCGCAGCCGTAGCATTCTTTCGTTGTGTTTGGCGCGGTGGTTCGATCGAGCTCTCCCAAGGAGGCTCGATTGAACCACCTTGGAACCATCAGGGCTGACTTGTTGGCAATCTAGGGAGCGTTCTTGGGCTAATCGTGCGGGCCGTCTTGCAGCGGCCTTGCGGTTGGGGCGCCCCGGAACCGTCTTGAGGCCGAAGAGGGCGCAGGGAAGCAACACTCACGTACAGGGGGCAGTCTGGGACCTGGGCTGCTGCGAGGGGGGCGCCCCTGGAAAGCGGCACCCTCGCGGCGGAATACCCTCAACAGCTTTACGCGGCCACGACGGGGTGTCACGATGGAGGCCACGATTCGAGGCCACGAGGAGGGATCGGGATCGGGGGTACAGGGATGGGGATATAGGGACAGGGACGGGGATGGGGATAGGGATAGAACAGAAGCGAACGGGATAGGGATGAACAAGAGGATGTGGATGGAGGCATGGGGGAGAGAGAGAGAGAGAGAGATCGGAATAAAGATTATTGGTGGGGATAAGGCTACGGGCAGGGCCAGGGTTGACAATGGTAGACAATGGGAGACAACAGGAGACGAGGGGAGACGCTGCGAGACGACGGGAGGCAGCGTCACCCGACTGGCCTGATGATCCGACAAGGAACCTGGTTGTGTCTTAGATGGCTTATGCAGCACTCCTACACAACGGCCGTTAAGAGTGGGAATACACTGCCAGGCAGCTGAGCAGACATCCTCACACGACGCAGCGTGATGAGGGTGGCGGACAAGATGACCGAGTTTGAGGAGTTCCCCCTGCCGCAGATGCTGACCTCCAGCATGGACGAGGTGGTCTTGCAGACCATGGTCATCTGCGCCACGCCGGTGGGCGACATTGAGAGCATGCTGATGGGATCCATGGCCGCGCCCAAGCGGGAAGCGATCGGCGACGCCGTCAAGGGCCTGAAGAAGATAGACTGCCTCACCGCGCAGGGGCACCTCACAGCGCTTGGCCGGGCGTGCGCTTCGATCCCCGTGCAGCCGAACGTCGCGAAGATGCTGCTGGTGGCGGGGGCGTTCCGCTGCATCAAGACGGCGTCGGTGGTGGCCGCGTTCCTGAGCGTGAAGAACCCCTTTCAGCAGTCTCCCGGCCAGGGCGGCCCAGGGAGCGGCGCAGACGCGGGCAAGAAGACCGGCAAGGAGTACTTCAACAAGGGCTTCAACTCGGACCACCTGACGTCTCTCCAGGCTTATGTGGAGTGGCGGCGGGCGGTCAAGGCTGGTCGCGGGGACGACTTCTGCGACGAGATGGGCCTGAGCCCCGAAACGATGGACATGGCGCACATGATGGCACAGCAGTTCACAAGCTTCATGATGGAGGCAGCCCCCGTGCAGCACTGTTGGGGAACATCACTTCGGGGTGCTATACTTCGGGAGGAGAGCAGCTTCAGAGTGTCAGTCTGTCACTTCCGCTACTTGGGCAAGTCTCTGTCCCTATGAATGCTGCATTGTGTTTGTGTGTGTTTGCTTGCATCCAGGGCTGAAGCCAGCCATCGGTAAAGAACAGGGATGGGATTGAATAGATCCCTCCAGTGGGCGAGGTTGTCAGGAGGGGAAAAAACACTCAAGCACAAATCATCGTCGATCCCCAGGAAAAGATGGGAAACTATGGGAAGTGGAGGGGAAGGCGAAACTTTTGAAAATCGGAGGTTGGGGGGTGGGATCGAAGTGGAACGGAGAGCCTCCCTACCGGGAAATCGATTTCGGTTTCGTGTTTGTGCCGTGCGTGCGGGCGAGGCGAAGCTGCGTGGGCGGGGGAGAGGAAATTCTCCTGTGGCTGGGCCGCGGCTGGACCAAAAGGTTCTCCGCCCCGCAACCGGTGGCGCGCGGTGTCCCGCCAGTGTCCCGCTGTTGTCCCGCTGGTGTCCTGCCGGTGTCCCGTCGTGGCTGGGCCGCGGCCGGACCAAAAGGTTCTCCGCCCGGCAACCGGTGGCGCGCGGTGTCCCGCCGGTGTCCCGCTGGTGTCCCGCTGGTGTCCCGCTGGTGTCCCGTCGTTGTCCCGTGGTGTTCCGTGGTGAGATCGACAGTGAGATCAATATTGAGATCGATATTGAGATCGATACTGAGATCGATACTGAGGTCGATGTGGTGCCCCGAAGTGTCCCGTGGTGTCCCGTGGTGCCCCCAACAGTGAGGTCGATAGTGAGATCGATAGTGAGATCGACAGGTGTCCCGTGGTGACCCGTGGTGACCCTTTGAGTGAGATCGATAGTGAGATCGATAGTGAGATCGATAGTGAGATCGATGTGGTGCCCGAGTTGTCTCGTGGTGTCCCTTGGTGTCCCAAAAAGTGAGATCGATAGTGAGATCGATACTGAGATCGACAGGTGTCCCGTGGTGTCCCGTGGTGTCCCGTGATGTCCCGTTGAGTGAGATCGATAGTGAGATCGATAAGGAGATCGATGTGGTGCCCCGAGGTGTCCCGTGGTGGCCCGTGGTGTCCCGTGATGTCCCGTTGAGTGAGATCGATAGTGAGATCGATAGTGAGATCGACAAGTGTCCCGTGGTGTCCCGTGGTGTTCCGTTGAGTGAGATCGATAGTGAGATCGATTGAGTCAGACGTTGGTTCCTCCCTCTCGCCCCCCCCCCACAACCTCCTTATCACCCGAAGGGTGGTCGTATAGGTATGGAACATATTGAGCATCCTGGGATTTGTGCCTCTTGATTTGCGTTTGTCCCCGGGCGCCTCCAGCTTGGGCCGCAGGCAGGAGACCTGCGAACGGCCGCCTCCGCCTCGTGCCCTGGCGTGGTGGGGGCCGCGGGGCGCGCTGCGGTCACAAGCCATGCTGAGGGCCCACGGCTTTCCCGCGAGTGCCCTTGCGCGTCTTGGCGCTGTTTCGGGCGTTGGGTCCTGGCGCCCACCCGGCAAGAACGGTCAGAGGAGGACAAGGTACCGATACCGCTACCCTTTCCTTGTTTTCTCCTTTTTGGGCCTCCTGGGAGGCCCTCGTCGCCACCGCTGGATTCGCCTCGAAATTCTGGTCAGAACGCACCCCTCGAGAGGCCCGGGGGGTAGCGTATCGGTACCTTTTGGACTCCCCACGTGCGCTGTTTTTGCGTTTGGTCCCGGCGCCCCTTTCGGCAAGGACGGGAGTGGGTTGGGTCACCCCCACCGTCCCTGGGGTGCGGGCAGCCCGTCGCATAAAAGATGCCTGCGTCGGCGGCCAAGGCCTTTGCATCCCTACCGCTTGTCCTCATAGAGACGAGCCCTGGGGTCAGTTTTCAGTAGGGCCCCAGCCTTGAAAGAAGTCCTTGTTCGATCTTCGATCCACCTCCAGTCGGGGTGAGGATCTGGACGTTGCGGGCATCTCGTCGGTGACCGACACATGTTTGCAAACAATAATGGGTTGAAAGCTGTGTGGTGCAAGCTATCCGGTGTTAGCTTATCTGGTGCAAGCTGTATGGTGCAAGCTTTGTGGTTTCAGCCAGTGCCGTAAGCAGGGCGTGCAACATGTGCGGTGTAAGCTGTGTGGCTCAAGCTGTGTGTTGTAAGCCGTGTGGCGTGAGCTGCGTCTGGCGCAAGCTGCATAGCACAAGCGGTGTGGTGCAAGTCATGTTCTGCACCTCGTGTCGTGCAAGTCATGTGATGCAGGCTATGTGGCTCGGGCCAGACGAAAGGGGGGGGATTGGGAAAGGGCGGTTACGAAATTTGCTGCATGCAGCTGGCTTCGGCCCCACCGAGGGGCCCGTTCCTCGACACATGGGCGCCTCCCGGCGCCGGGAGGCGCCGGGAAAATCAGCCACGTGAGCTGATCCTCAAACCCCCCCTTTGCTATCCCCGCCTTTCGCCCGGCCCGAGTGGCGCAAGCAGTGCGAACACCAAGCGCCCACGAGGCGCCCTCGTGGCGCCCACGGGCGGGCCCCCGGGCGGGCACCGGGCGGGCTTTCGGCCCGCCCGCCCCGCGCGCGCGGGGCGCCCGCGGGGCGCGCCACGCGAGCGGCCACGGGCGGGCACCCCAGGCGAAGCCTCGCCGCCCACTCTGCGCGAGGCGCCCGCGAGCGGCGTGCGAGGCTTCTCTGTTGGAGAGTCCCTTAGGGCGCCCTCGAGGGCGCGAGGTTATTCGCGCTTCGCGGTTCGGCTCCGATTCCTCCCCCCCCCCCTTCTCCCCTGGGAGGCGGCGCGAGAGCGCGAAGTTATGCGCACTTCGCGCTTCGCGCAGCGCGAAGCGCGAAGTTGGGAGCCCTTGGTCCCCGGCGTCCCGCGTGTCCCCAACGGCCCGTCTAGAAACGATCCCCAGGCAGGATGTCATAAGAAGTGAGTCGGAGGAGCAGTGCGTAGCGGAACAAAGCGGGGAACATCTATCAAATTGAAGTTGCGATCCGCCCGCGCTGTTGCCAGCAACGGTCAGCTATTTGAGGGGCACCGATGAGCCTCTTGGAGACCTTGAGGAGCTCTCTTGAGCCTTTTTGCGTGTTCCTTTTGGAGGATTTTGGTTCCTCTTGGGAATATTCCTGGATGCCCTCGGCCAGGAACAGGGGGCGGCCTCAATTGGGGACCGTCGCCTGGAGCCAGAAAAATAATGTCTCGATCCCTGTGAGAGCTCTCCGGGGCCGTCCTGAGACCTTCTTGGGCCATCTTGGGCGCCTGCTTGAGGCCTCGGACCCTTATGGAAACGAGCATGCAAGAAGGCAACACATAATGAAAAACCTGCAGTTGTCCCCCAACCTTCGAGACTCGCCCCTCGGGGACATCCTTGGGAGGTCCAGTGACTACCTCGGGACGTATTCAGGTCGGCTTGGCGCTCCTTGAAAGCATGCTAAAAACAATGTTGAGCACATTTAAACCATGTTAACCATCGAGAGCCCCAGACAGTCTGCTTCTAGAAATCTATGTTTCGCAATGAATGTGGTAATGCCAATGCTGTGCAAACTTTGTAATGCAATCCATGTGGTGCGCTCAACGCTGAGCGATGTATGTTGGACAATATATTTGGTGCAACCTATGCTGTGGGATGTCGGTCGTGTAATCTATTATTTGAGTTGTCAAAAAGCGCGCCCCAGGCGTGAACATCGTGCACTCTACGCGCCGCAATCTATGTGAGGCAATACATGTGCTGCAATCTATGTGGTACAACCTATGCGGTGCAACACGTGTGGTGCAACATAGGGTGTACAATGTTTGTTGTGCAACATGTGTGTTGGTGCAATGTGTGTTGTGCAATATATGTTGGGTAATCCATTGTGTGCAACCTATTTGGTGCAACACATGTGGTTGTGCAACTTGCTTGTGTGCGAACTATTTGGTGCAATCTATGTTGTGCACCATCTGTGGAGCATTTTATGTTGTGAGCGATCAAAATGCGTGCCGCAGGCGCAACACGAAATTGTGCAATTTATGTGCTGCGACCTATGTGGGGCCATACAGGTGGTGCAATCTGCCTGGTGCAGTTTATTGCTCTTCGCAGTGAGTTGTCCACTCCACTGCTCGCGAAATCATGCCACTCACCCACCCGCAACTTGGTGTGCAAAACCCATGCGGCGGCGATTGCGAAGAGTGCTTCGAGTTGGCTGGTGCATCTCTGCAGCCGCGCTAGCCCTCGCATGCTCGCGCGCGCAGCGGCCAGCTAGTTTGGCGCGACCGACACGGCCACGGTGGCGCTGACCACTGGGCACTTCCCAGCGGGCACTTCCGTGCGAGTCGGCGACTTGGGCGGGCGCGGTAGATGGCAACGTCGACAGCGGTAGACGCGACGATGATGGTGGCGATGTTGGTGGCGATGGCAACGACGACGGCAAGGCCAGTGACGTCGCCGATGCTGATCACGCCGGCGTCCTCGCGTCTGTGATAAGGTTTTGGAGTGAGTTCGACATGCGCGCGCGGCCGACGCGCGAGAGTTGCCCGCATGGTATTATTTCACACGGATCGTGCCCCCTCCAGCACGCGCGCAAGAGCGTTCGCATGATTTCGACGTGCGGGGTTTGGCCAACTTTCATAGCAATGCAGACCAAGGCCAGGCAATACTGTGCTTAGCAATGCAACGCAACGCAGAGTAACGAGAAGCAGCTCAAAACAATGCAGCGCAGAGCAACGCGACGGCGACGGCGAAGCAACGGCGACGGGCGGCGACGAGGGCGACGGGGCGGCGACGGCGGGCACGGAGCCGCCAGACCGACGCACGAGACAAGGCGACGGGCGGCGACGGGGCGGCGACGGGGCGGCGACGGCCGGCACGAAGCCGCCAGACGGACGCACAGGCGCAGTTCTGTAGACGAGAAATAAGAAGCCCCCAAGGGCAAGCACTGTCTGGGGAGTGGTTCGCCGTAGCGGAGGCCATGTCGGATTACCTTGGAGGCGTGCCACAGGCCATATTGAACCAAATCAGGCAATATCGAAAACATCTTGGGGAGCCACGGCCGCTCTCATGCCCCGCGGCCTTCCTGCGTCCAGGCCCACTGGGAGGAACTAGGGAGGGTCTAGCTAACCCTCCTTCCGAAGTGCGGCCGTCTCGCTCACCCCCACCCGCCTTCCCACCACATACGTAGCATCCAAGTATCAGCATTGGCAGGTGCCACCATCGACAACCATTGGGAATCAACGCAGATGTCAGCTACTAGAGCGACGCCCGCGAGGGACGATGCGCGTGCCAGGGCACCCCCATCACTTTCGTCGGATGCCATTTCAAAATGATCGTGGGGTGCCCGCGCATGGTCAAGATTTAGCCTCAACGTGCTCTTTGATTTTGTCTTGACAGGGGGGTGGTTGTACACACCAGGCAATATGCCAATATGCTGCCTCCCCGCCGTCCCTGCCAACGAACAGCGTAAAACGACAGCGGAGAGCCCAAGCATGATCCAGATTTTGTCGAAAAGTGCATCGTGCTCCCTAAACTGCTGGCCTAAACTGTGCGTGCTTGCTGCAATTTGTCGAACGCCAAGTGTCAGGAGGGACAAAAACACAAGGACGCCAATAACCGTCAATTCCCCCGAAAAATATGGGAAGTCGGTGGGGAGGCGAAAATTCCGAATATCTTGAATAATGTAGGGGGCCTCGGGGTTTTTGTCTACAGTGTGAGCCATGGCAAGAAATACCCTGGTTGCCTCCAGGGTGCCCGGGGTTTCTTGGGCTTCGATGCTTCTGCTATGGCAAGCGTGAAGGTCCAACACCAAGCATCACAACAATGGACGTCCTGGGGTCTCAGGGTTGGGTTTCTGGCGGCAGGTTTCTTGTGGTCCAGCTCCTACTGCCTTCGCTGGCGTGCCTCCGCAGCGGGGCTGCTGGGCCCCCCCGAGCTCGGTGGCCCATCGTGCCCATCGCGCAGGGGTGCACAGCCGTTCCAGGAACTGCCTGGGGCCTCCCCCCAAAGCGGCGTCCTACGGCGGGGGCGTTCGCTTATGGAACTTAGCCGCCTCGGTGCGCCCGTTTTGATACGCCACGCGTGCCGCGCTCAAAACGTCCGTGTCAATATGTTGCGTGTTGGCTCAGCGTCGGCCCGGCTGCTGCCACGGCCCCCGTTGCCGCTGCTGGCCGCGCCGGCGCACTCAGCTTGGAATTCTTCCGCGTCTGAGTGCCCTCCGCCTCCCCCTGTCCTTCTCGGCCGCCATGTCTGTCTTGCTTCCCCCTTCATGCACGCCAGCCAGTTCGCGTATCGGTTGCCCCAGATCGCTGGCTCGCTGGTGCAGTTCTGCCTCGCCGCTCAAGCAAACGTGTTGGCTCAGCGTGTTGGCCCACGCGTTGGCGAGCGTATCGCGTCATACCTGCGTGTTCGCTCTACGTGTTGAGCTTCGGATCAGACCGCTACGTGTTGCGCGTGGCGCACGGGGGCATCTAAGTTAAGGAATGTGCCCACGGGGCCTCAGACGATGGGGGGGTCCTTATCCCGAGAGGGCGGCAGTGACACTCATAGCCCGTCCACGATTGGAGTTCCACCGGCTTCCAGGCCCTCGGTTCCTTGTCCAAATGTTCTTTATCCAATTCGCGCTCCGTATTGTTTTTGGAAGGGATTGGGGAGGGGTGTGGGCGCTGGCTGTGGTTAGGGGACGGTAGAGTACGGGAGGGGGAGCATATCAGGAACGAGCAGTGATTAAACCCTCTTCGGAAGGGGAGTATGTGGTTTGGAACAAGTGGTCCGCAAACCGCCGAGAGTGGCAAGTTGAGGGATTGCTTGCTTTTTGCGACTGCTTTCGTATCTTGTGCCCTGGACGATAGACCAGCCCCGTCCAAGAGGCGCGCGCAGCAGCCACGAATTGAACTGCCCAACAGCTGCATTAGTAGATGCGACCTGCGGCTTGCCAACATGAGCGAGCTGCTTAAAGTTTGGGAACAACCCTGCTATGCATCAGGTAAGGGAAGTACCATCACTAATTGAATCCTGCGGGCGCTCTATATGTAGTGTGTGCATTATGTGCGCCATTGTCCAGGCTGGCTACGACGGCAACGACGTTCGCGAGGAGGAAGGGCATGGAAAAGGGGTGATAGTAGTCAGATGCGCAGCATGTTTCATCTAGAGATGCGTTCGTTGAAGATGTGGCAGTGAACTGTACCAACATGGTTTGTATATGTCGATATGCTTGCTTCTGGTAAACTCCTGGAGCGGTCTCTCTTGTCTAGGAGTTTCAGTGTTGTGTGGGATTCTCAGTGGTTCAGATCTCGATGATTCGTTCCCTCTGTCATTGTTGATTGTGGCAAGGACTGCCCGGCGATACGCCGTGGTTCAGAGGACGACGCCTTGTTGAGGCTCCTTATGTTCTGCAGCACTGCGTCGGCGATGCATGAAGTAAGCGCAACAGAGTTAATACATTCTGAAGGATGGGACATGGCAGCATTGCTTGAGGAATTGTGCAGACACCAGACGGCGGCTTTAGGGACAAGGCAATTCAATGATGCGCGCCCTTGCTCAGAGCACCTTTTATGCTTTGCACTCAGTGAACACATTTCCGTCGATCGATGATCTCAAACCAACATGTCGGGGCGACTCATTGGTGAGCAATTTTAGGCGTTTCGCGTAACCCCACCAGCTCTGACCGCCCTCTGGACTTTTCCTTGCGGGCCGCAAATCAAAAAAGTACCCCCACCAGCCCATCCAGAAAAGATGCCCAGGCGCGTGCCTTGATCAGGAATGGGGAGGAGCATACAGTGGAATGGCGGGCAAGGAAAGCCGTCATACACCACGAGATGGAGGATGTAGGATAATCGATGAGGGAGGTGGAGGAGAAGGAGGAGGATGGGGGGGAAGGACGAGGAGGAGGAGGAGGACGAAGGGGAGGGGCCAGGGGAAACGGGAACAGGCTGAGGAAAGGGAACTGGCGGAGGAGGAGGAAGAGGAGAAGGGCGAGCAGAAAGGCCAGAGTCCCTTTGGATGCCTCCCGGAGTCTTTTCGGATGTCTCTTGAAAGTGTATCGTGGTCCTCATTGGGCTTCTTGGGGGGTTCTTGGCGGTCCTTGGGCCCCCCCTGGAGCGTCACGGGTGCCTCGGAGGAGCCTCTTGGAGCGTTTCTGGGGGTGACGTGGGAACCTCTTGGGGACATCGTGGGGGCCTCCTGGGGCCTGCTGTGCCACTTTTGGGGCACACTTGGGAGTCTTGGGGGCCATCTTGAGGCCGTCTCGGAGTTGACCGATCAAAGAATGGGAGGAGAGATTCCAATTGGGGTTCCTCCCCCGCCCCCCCCCGGAGGCCAAGATTGGGCCCAAACCGTAGTCACATCAATCAGTTTTGCCTTCTCGCCGAGGGTCCTCGACGCCCGAACTGCCCGCGAAACGCCCCGTCCAGGTCCGAGGGGAGGGGGAGGGGAGGGGTAAACGACTCCCCGAAGGGGAAGAAGGGGGGTTGGAAGAGGAAACGCCCTTGACCACTCACGCGCTAAAGGACAGGTGGGATTTGTTCGTATGTAACGCTCATTCAAGCCATTGTTCCCCCGCGGGAATGGTCCAATCCGTTGCTCTTGCATCTGTCCCATGTGTTCATGATCGGTTGTAATTGGACCCTCGTGCCATCTATGTTCAAGCGATGCGCAGGTGTGCCTTGACCGCAGGTTTCTGCCCAAATTTTGTGGCCTTGTATTACGGGAGGGGGACTTCCACAGGGTAGTGACGCATGGCATGAAGTGGTTGCACGATAGGGGGAGCACGACTTGTTCAGGCGGAAGCATCCGAGAGATTAAAACATTGAGCTCATATCGTTGGTTTTGCCCGTGATGTTCAGCAGCATCATGTTCCACGGACGGCGTTGGTAGCAGGGGTCAGGCGCACATGAGGGCGATGTGGATTTGCTTGCCACGACGTCCGGCTAAGCCACGCAAGTCATCGGGGATGGATTGTGTACACGTGCCCCGTCTGTGTCGGCACAGCAAGCGAGGTATGCTCTCACATCGTAGCGCGTTCCATTGCTGTAGGTTGTGCTCGAGTGCCGAAGTGCACACGCACTACTTTCAAGTTCTGACGATTTGTTCCCAGTGTTTATTTTGCTAAGAACAGGCCGTTAAGCTGCTGGTGAGCATAAGGTTTGCTTTTGTGGCTTGCATCATACATACATGTCGTCGGTATTATGTGTGTCTCCCTCAATTTGGATGGTTGCTTCCTTGCGGAGTTGGTCTCGGCGCGGTTGCAAGATCTTGCTTGAGCTCTGACCCTCTTTCGTTTGAAGTCACTGTTAGGGCCAAATGGACAGGGCCAGGAACCGGTCTCCTTACTGGTACCTCTGTGACAATTCGGAGGTGTACCCGTTCGGGGGCAGCGTCAACAAGAATTATCAAATGTCTGGCAAGGATCGGGCTGCACGTTTATGCGACGATCCGTCGCCCACAGAATTGTCGCCCCCCTCCCCGTTGTTCTCTCTCTCTCTCTCTTTTTTTTTCTCTCTCTCTCTCTCTCTTCCTATATATCTATATATATACATGTGTATATATATATATATCCCTCCTCCCCGTCGCCGTCCCTTGCCCTAGTTTCCATTATCCACTACCTTCGCCTCGTCCTGCCTCAGTGCCGACGATATTATGTACACGCAGACAACCAGCAGTCAGATACGTGTGTGTGTGTGGTTAAGTATGTGTGTGTGTGTGGGTGACGGGCTTGTCTCCCCCATCTGAGACCAGCCGAATCAAGCCACCATCCCGAAGTCTGAGAGTGTTGCACCGGGTACTGCCGGCAGGGACGAGTTCCCCAGACTGGGGAATTCGTCTGGCCCCCACTGGCAGTGGGGGCCAGACGCGTTCAGCTATCAGTTGGGAGCCACTGGCGCGTCAAGGACTGACGTCGGTCACGCGTAAGAGTGACCCTTGGCCGGAGTGACCTTTGGCGCCGGGCCCGCAGGGTTCCCCCAAACTCTGGCCTGCGCGCCAGGCTGTGGCCCTCCCCCCACGGTCCCCCGAAGCCGCGCCGCCGGTGAGGGCGCGCCTGGAAAGAGCTCGCGCGTGGGCCGCGCCTGGAGGAGCGCCCGCCCGCCCACCCCGCGGAGCCGCGCTCCGCCCCGCTCCGCCCTCGCTCCTCCCCCCCTGCCCCGCGGGCACGCAGCGCATGCTCTGTCCAGCTCAGCCTTGCGCTCACCCAGTAGCTGGGAAGCCTTAGAATCATAAATGTAGGTGGCGTTCTAAATGCTGGGTTGTTAAACATATTTAACACGATGTAACTTGGACCGGGTGTAAATGTATGTAACGAATGAAGAATAAAAGCTTGAATGCGATTGCTGCAACAGCGTCACAATCCTAAGAAGATGTTGACGGACCGGGCCATGCATGCCCCGGACCGACGGCGCCGACCTCTCCCTGCCCCGCCGCCTCTGCCGCCCTGCCTCTGCCCTCTCCGACCCTCTGTCCTGTCAGGAGGGCCCGCGGGCCTGCTTCCCCGCCTGGCAGGCGCGCGCGCGCCCTCGTGGCACCGGGACTTCCGGACGGCTCGCGGCCAGACCCAGCCCGCGACGACCACGCAGTGTGCGCGCGCGTGCGTGTTTCTGCCGTGCCGTGAGTCCTTCCCTCCTCCTCCGCCCTCCGCGGCTTCGGCTTGCCTCTCTCCCCCACTCTTTGCCGCCGGACAGCTAGTGCCTGCCATAGCGCGGCTCACTGGAGCGCGCGTGCGGATCGCCTCTGCCGCGCTGCGACGGAAACGGTGTGTGTGTGTGTGTGAAGGTGTGTGAAGGTGTGGGTGTGATGTGTGTGGTCGTGTGTATATGTGTGTTCGTGTATGTGTGTTTGTGTGTGTGGTGTGTGTGTGTATGTGTGTGGTGTGTGGTGTGTGTGGTGTGTGTGTGTGTACGTGCGTGTGCAAAGGTCATTGCGGAGTCTTCCAGAGGCCCCAGACTCGTCGGCGAGCGAATGTGGGAAGTGAGGAAAACAAGGCTTGCTCAGAACGCTCGGGACCCCCCGGCCTCCTGAAACGTTTTCTATGGTTGCCCTGAAGACGCAGAAAACTTGATCGCCCCCGTGGGGGACGCCAAATTGCCGCTGCCTGCGTCGCTGGACACCGCAGGTTGGCCTCCGCACCCCGCGGTGTGCTGCGCGCGTGGACTGAACGGCTCGTTCGCGCGCCCGAGGGGCCGCCTCCTCGCAAGAGCTAGGGGGTCCACCTTGAGCGCGGCGGCGCGGGCCGCGCGTCTTGTCCTTGGTGTCTGAGGCGGCGCTCAGAACACAGTGCTCGTAGGCTTGGGCGTACCGCACCTGCGCCGCACCTGGCGGGCGGTGCGTGGAGAGACACATTCCCGCTCCGTCGGCCGCGGGGGCGCGGCGTTCCTTGGCGGCTCATGCCCGTGCGACAGGGCGCGCGCGCGGATCTGTACAAGGCGACCGCCCCCGCACTGCCGTGGCAGGATGCTGCGCGCGAGCGCGGTGTGTCCGACGAGGACCGCGCTGGCAACCGCGCTGGCAACGCAGCAGTGGTTCGTTCGGCTGGGCTGGCTGCTGGGGCCCCGCTGCCATCGCACGCGGTTGGGAGCGCGCGCGCGCCAGCTCGGCGTGGCTGCCACGGAAAAGCGTTTTCTGCAGCCGCCTCGGCGACGTTGGGCGGTGACGTGCAGCGCGCGGCCCTGGCGGGCCCCTGGGCCCTGGACCGCGCCGCGACGCCCGCGGCCGCGGGGCTCTGTTGCAGCGCTGGCGGCCGCGGGCCTGGGCGGCGGTGGCCGTTCCGCCAGCTGCGCCCCCCGCGCTCGCGGCAGCGGTCCAGGCGCTGCTCGCGTGCCTCGCCGGGTGGCCTCGCGCCGAGCCTCAGCGGCCGGCTTGGGTGGCGCGCCCTCCTGCGGAACTGGGGCCCGCCGGCGGTTGGGGGTTGGAGAGCGGGCCCTGCGCCAGCGGGGCGACAGATCGCGCGGCCACCTCGCGCGGCGGGCCTGCAGCCGAGGTTGCTGCTCGCGCTGGCGGCGCTTGGGGCGGCAGGCGGTCGACGCTGCGCGCGCGGTCCGCCCGGCGCGGCCGGGGGGCCGCCCCGGGACATTTCGGCGCGCCGCTCGCTCGCGGGCGCGGGTCGCGCGCCCGCCGCGTTCCACTGTTTCACCCTTCGCTCCCTTGCCCCTTTCGCGGCGCCTCTCGCCGCGGCGGCACGGTCCAGGCGCTGGTAAAACATATGTTTAGAGTTGCGCTGCAAGCATGTCTGCGCAGGGCCAGATGTCTGGACGGGCCGCGTCCGTATTCGAGTTCTGCTGAAATTCGGAGTGGAAGTGCGGTGTCGCTGCTCGTTTATTTTTTTTATGATGTGTTGAGCGTGTCCGTGCCTTGCTGTCCAAAGATGTGTGCGTGTGTGTGTGTGTGTCCATGTGGGCGTGGACATTGATTTGTATTTTTATTTCCGTCGCAAGTCACACTGGATATAGTAGCAAGTCCGCGAGTGTTGGGTTGTCAATTCAAGCAACATCATGCGTAGCGCATTGCGAGCTTGAATCGCTAGCGCCTGTCGGTTACAGTTCCCCGTGCTTGTGTGTTTCCATCGTCTGCGGCGCATTATCCACACCCATCGCGCGTGACAGGGGAATCGGTCCCAGAGCCCCTGACCCAATAGAGCTCCTGATGGGAAGATCTGTGGACTTCCCCTAGTTGTCTAATAAGCGCTGTTGCGCGTTACGAGAAGTGGTTGGACCCCAACATGCGATACCGCGAAGATGTGGCCACGTCGCGCTGACAGCCTGAAACGGTCAGCCAAGAGGAATTGCCTTTTTTCGTTTACTATAGCACGGCCACGCCCTCTTTCCCGGCTCTTGATGTTTTCGACAGGTATCATTATTTGCCCTCCTCCACATGCATGTCAGTAAATCGGTCACACAGTCATGGAGACATGATTGATCCGTGCATGGTCCAATGCGGCAGTCGGATAAGGAATGTTGGGAGAGGCGGTGGGCAGGCTTCAGTGGTTCCAGCTTGGGTATCATCCATGCGCGAGCGTTTCAAACGTCAGCTGGAAGTTTGCACCATGTCTCATTCCATACGCAATACCCTTGATAGCGTCAGCGCGTGCGGAGGAAGAGTAGGAGGAGGAGGGGGGAATTGCTTGTCGCACATGGCCCGGCGTCAGCAAAGCATGTCGTGCCAAGCTCAGGACGGGAACGAGTGGATGGTCTACAGCGACGCCATGGTAATGGGCCGCGGCCACAGCATCATGGACCACCGCGGGGTGACAGCCAAGAGGGCGGAAACTCTGGCCGGAGGCAGGGCGGAAACTGTGGCCAGGGTCGCGTAGCCCCACCAGCCTATGCAGAACGGATGCCGCAGTGGCCCAGGGGAAAATGTCTGGAGGAAGGGCGTGGACTGGAGGAGGGGCGTAGTACAGCGAATCAAGAACTGACAAGTGTGGGCTCAGAAGCCGCTGGGGGCCTTTTTGAGATCTTTCGGAGCTCAATTGGGGCTCTGGTGGGAGCCCTCCAAGCGCTCTTGGGGCTCTCTTGGAGCCCTCATGGGGCTCTCTTGGGACCATGTTGTAGCTATTGGTCAAAGACGGGGGAGGCTCGATCACACCGCCCCCGTCGGAGCCCTAACAACAATCGCTTCTTGGAGTCCTCTTCGGGCGACCTTGGAGCTGTCGTTGAGCTCTTCTGGGCCCGTTCTTGGGGCTTTCTTGGCCCATTCTCAGAGGCCATCTTCAGGGTCCGACGGCACATCGGAAATGAGAAAGCCAGAATGTCAGAATGTTTGATCTTCGTGTGGTTGAAGGATGTGGGGTTTTCGAGGGTGTTCTTGGGAGGCTTGGAGGCCCATTGGAACCGTCTTGGGCAAGTCCTGAGGCCTCCTGGAGGCGTGCTGGATGCTAGTTTGAACCTTATTGGGCTATCTTGTGCCATGTTGTAAGTCCTGTTGGGCAACCTAGGCACCACAGCAACCAACATGGCCCTGGCTGGCCCACGATCATAGGGCCATTCTGGAACCATGTTTGACGCTGTGACCGCTTGCCCCCTCCCCCCTGCTACATGTTCCAGAGCTTCAGTGACTTCAGCAGCTTGTACTCTCATCCTCCGCGCTCTCAGGTGTTTGTATGTGCTCGCCCTCATGGCCATTTGTGCTCTCAAGGGCGTCCTTGGGCCGCCTGCCAGGCGGCGTGAACAGATACTGATACACCAAGATCTCTCTACCAATACGGATCAAGTGTCTATCTCATTACTTATATTGAGGGTTCCAGAGGGGAGGCAGGTGAACATGGTGTTTTGCTCGCATCGTACTTGCAGCTCGGATACCAAGACATGGTTCGCTTGCGTTGCTGGAAAGCGAGAAAGGAGTCCAATCGATTACGACGCTGAGGCGTGGATTCTGCCATGCAGGGACCCGTGCGGTCCTGCATGGTCGCGGAGCAGGAGTCGTCCCAATGGTGATCACATGGTGAGAGAGAAAGATGGTTGCATTCCTTGGTGGGGTGGAGATCCGAGCACGTGGGATCTGTATAAGGCAAAGGTGCAGAGCTATGCCCAAGGAGCGGAGTGGCACAAGCGACACTTGTGCGAACCACGGCTCCGACGCAACCTTCGAGGTCCAGCTTTCCAGGCGCTAGAAGGATGCAAGCCAGGATGGTCAAAACAGTCTGACCGCGCTTAGCGACTGTTGCGACGGTTTCACCAGAAGTTGGCTCGGCTAAATGTGCCTGACCTTGGTGAGCACTTGGAGGAGCATTTCTACAAAATGCGACGTAGGAAGGGAGAACCAGCTGGAGACTGGGCACTGCGGAGCCCCGAGAGTTACCAGAAGATGCGACGTATCGTGTCGAGAGGTGTGCAGGCACAGGTGCCACTTCGGTGGACGACCCCGATGCCGGTACCATCTCCCGTGGATCTGGCGCCGGCACGGCATGATCCAAACTCACGGAGCGACCCCTTGGCGGTCGGCGGCAGCAGTGGCAGAAACCACAGACGGAGCGTCGGCAACGGCAGCATCCAGACACGGAGTTGATGACGGAGAAGACGGTGGTGCAGACGACATCGGAGAGGAATGACAACACCCAACCGAGCCCCCACAACCAGACGGATGGTGGCGATGCTTATGGTGGAGGTTTTGGCGGTCCAAAGACGACAGACGGAGTCCAGCTCGTGACAGGCCTTGAGGAGGCTCTAGCTCGTGGGACCCCGTGGATATAGAAGACGCGGACGACGACGAACAATTTGAGGGCCAGGATCGCCTGCCCGAGATCCTCCCGGACGTGGTCCAGGATTACCTGCTGTTGTCGCGCATTGGTGAAGACGTGCACGGGAGGGCGGCGATCGTAGCATCATCTCACAACAAGCTTTACTTCCGGGAGATCAACGTTGCCACGCGGGCGCTGCGGACGGACGGGAATCTGGCCGTAGCGAGACCATCGGCGTGGAGGTCATCGTGCGGAATGGCCCCACTGTGGGGCTGACGGGGTCACTTGGGACAACGACGAGGATGACGAGGAAAACGGCGATGAGGCCTGCCACGGTAAGGGGGATAATGACGACGATTGAGGCGACGAGCCAAGCGATGACGAGTCCCAGGCGGCGTTGCAAGCGGCGCAGGACGCCGAGGCTGAGGCGCTCGCGGCCATCCAGAGTGCGAGTCGTACGTTCGGCGAGGCACGAAAGCAGATAGTAGGAACACAACTACGCCGTGGATTCCAGCCAGGAGGGCAGGGACCACGCCCGACTGGCACTTGCGGGTCCGAGGGACGTGGCAAGTCCATGGGGACTGGCGGCAACAGCACTTTCGGCTGTCCGCGACCTGTCGGCTCCGGAAGCCATTCAGGAGGGAAATCGATCGGCCTTCGTCAAGCTACGCATCCTGGAGCACGACAGCCCGGTTCAGGCAAGCGCCCCAGGGGCGGTGGATATCATTGGCCAAGTCAATGTCCTGACAAGAACGACCTGAAGCTGGCCAAGCAGCAGACCGCATCCGCATCTCTGGCATTCGCGCCGATGAACAGACTGGGCGCTTTGCCGGGACGAGACAAGCCACATGGAGATATGCTTCTTTGCTCTGGAGGCCGACTCCTTGGAGGGGTGCAACACTTTTGACCAGGCCAAAGAGTTCATACAGGACGGCGTGGTCATGTTGGGCACTGGGGAGACGAGGAACATCGGTGGCTCGCGCGCGGCGGAGCTGCTCGCGAAGCGGCTGAACTGCATTCTCACCGTAGTCCCTGAGGACCGCCCTTGCTCATTGTTCGGCAGTGGCGAGAAGCGTCAAGTCTTATGACGTACTGCTTTGCAGGTGACATCAGGGTCGCGGATCGGCAACGCCAGCGTCTTCGTGCTGGACGCGGCGACGCCCGTCCTGCTGTCCACCGAGTCCATCAGGAATCTCGGTGCGATCATCTGCTTTGACGCCAGCACGGCCATGCGCATGAAAACACATCCCCATCGAGGTCGCGCTGCTGATGCGCGACGAGAATGGCCGCTTGCTGATCCGCCTGTGCATGGACCTGTGGGGAAGCGGTGGCAATCCATATCGCCGGCGCACCGTGGCGCCGCCGTCGTGCATAGGGGCAGCTCCTCACGCGGGATCGACGCGCCCGTCCAGAGGATTGCCGCGAGGGGGTCGAACGCATCATCGCCCGCATCTCGAGCGACGGTTGGGGCGCAGACGGACGGCGAACAGCGGGCCCCAACGGGGCCCCCGCAACGATCAAGAAGCTCGTCGGGATCGAAACGCAAGAGGGTCAGGATCTCAGCGGAGGGCTGGGAGTGCGAAGAGACGTGGCCCCCAGAGATCGACGTCTGTTTGGAACTCTGTGCCATGATCAGGCCGCCACTGCCATCGTCTTGCACGGGTGCCACCAGGGGGCCGCGAGCGGGGCCAGATTCGGGTGCCCGCGGGGGGTCCTGCATTTGAGCGCGCCCGCGTGCAACTTCGCGTTTGAGCGTTGCCCGCGCGCGCGCGCGCCCGAGGGGCCCTGATGTGCCTCAGAGGTCGCCGCGAGCATGGCGCGCTTAGAAGGTCTGACATGCGGCCTGGGGTTTTCGGAGACGCGCGGTCGTGGGCCAGCTAGGAATTTCAAAGTCTCGGGAGGTCTGTGGCGAGTCGGGAACGACGCCGCGGCCTAGGGGGCCCGCCGGGCACGGAGGTCAGCTCGTAGGTTTCACTCGCGAGCATCCTACCCCAGGATTATTCGAGCTGTGCTGCTGAGGGGCCAGGCATTTCACCGCGGTGGCGCCGTCGTCCGCGACGCGCGTCGAGCTCCCGAAGAGCGGGGGGGCGAGGTCGCGGCCCGCTCGACGAAGATCGGAATCATCTCGCCCGTCCGCGAGATCCAGAGGGACAGCCCTCAGAAGTCGGAGAAGCAGTCAATTGTGTGGAACAGGTGCCAGGCGGAGCTACAGGCGGAATCAGTCTGGCGCGGGCCCCCTTGGTCGGGGCGGAAACACGCGGCGACCTGCCGCGCCTGATTCGGGCTGGCTTCGAGTAGGAGAAGTTCGAGGAGGGCTGGGCGATCCCGCCCGAGCCAATTCCGACGACGGGCGCCTTTGTATCAGTGCCCACCTGAGGAGAGGCGGACGCGAGCGACCCGCTACGAGAAATCCGAACCTGCCAGCGACGAGGAAAGCCGAGCTGGAGATGGAGCTCGCCGAGGCGAAGAACGCGGTCATGGAGATGGGCAAGGCCAAGCGGGCGGCGAGCTCGCGTCGGAACTCGGCGGCGAGGGCAGCGGTGCCGCCCTTTGCCTGAGTGGCAGAACGCTAACGACGGCGGACACGGCCTCCCGGTGGGGCTGTTCCGCGAGGTCGAACAGGGACACCGGGCGCGTGCGTCCTGCGGAACATGGGCAGAGTCGAAATCGCAGCGGCTCGTTGTCCACCTCCCCATTTTGGCGGCGACAATGCTGCGGACAAAGGGCGCGGGCTCAGCCGCGCGGCTCTCGGCGTGGAACGGGCGCGACGCGTCAGACGAGGTGGGCGCTAATTTGGCCATCGCAGCACTGTGCGAACATCGCCCCCCGACGAGTTTGGACTGCTACGCCGCGCGGCTTTGGCGCGCGCTTCAGCGCCTGAATCGAAAGACCCCAGAGCAGCGAAGATATTTGCGGTCGAAGTGGGCCAGGGGCATCGCCTTTGACAAGAATGCGGCCACCTGGGTGCATCTTCATATGCCACTTTGTCAGGCTCTATTATTCATTGGGAGCGGCCGCGATCCATTGCGTGTCGCGAGTTGTCGTTCACCAGGATCACGTTAGCTGAGTTATCGCGAGTGCCGGCGTTGCACGGTGGATGTCAGGTGGGCGCGGGCATCGACGGAGGCGAACTGCGCCGCAAACCCTGGGCCATCCGCGCGAGAGATCATGGCGCGCGCTGGCGCTGGAGTCTCAGGTGCCTTCTGAACCGCGCCCATGGCGAGCGCCTGCCGGCGCGGGCATCAGCCTGCCATCCGCCAGCGATGGTTCGACGCATGGTCGGGCGGATGTCGCGAACTGATCTTTGGGGGCGAGCGCCAGCGGTCGAGGTCGACGTCAGCGCTGGCGGCAGGAGTACTTGTCGAACGCATTTCGAAGAGGGCGCTGGAGCTGGACCTGAATCCCTAGCGGGCCCTCCAGCGGGCGCCTTCTGAGACGAGGGGGGAGCTGGAGAAAGCGCTCCAAGACGCTGCGCGAGAGCTCTGGCCTCGCAGTGCACGTGGCGGTGGCCGCTGTCTGAAGCCGCGAGACGCGCGCCCATGTCGCGCAACGGCATCTGGTGACGAGAGGACCTCAGCCACAGAGTCTGGTGGCCACGAGTGCAATCCCAGAGACATGGGAAGTTGTCGACAGCGACTTGGCAGACTGGGACCACCCCTCTTCGGGCGAGACCTGCGAGAGCACGATCGTCGCAGATGCGAGCAGCTGGCTCCGCTCAGGGAGAGCGCCATGCCCGTGTGATCCAGTGGAGGGGCTGCAATGCAATGGCCATGGATCCGAGCGCAATGTATGACCGCCACAACCAAAACATATAGACATCCACGATCAAGTCGGTGCAGTGTTGCTCCGGTGGACAATCCGCGGCCCCCCTCCCGCCGCTGGCGGCGACCGGTGCGCCCCCTCTCTCCTGCTGGCAGACGATGGCGAGGCGGCCTCGGGCGCGCCCTGGGAAACTGGCGGAGGATGCGTTGAGGGTGGCGGCGGCGCCTAGCCATCAGGGGCCGGCGCGAGAATATTCGCGCATCCAGCGTGCTCCGGGCACGGGGCCGGCGCGCGATGGAGAATTTCAGCTGGGGGTCTCACGTGCGATTGCGGGCTCTACGAAGCACGGTGAGTCGCGAGCGCTTCGCGAGCGGGCCGAGCACGCGGCCGTCGGCGCCGTCGCCTAGGGCCGAGAGGCCAGGTCCCCTGGCCCGCAACGGCAGAGGTCGACTCCTCGCCAATGGACGAAACGCAACCGCGGCAAGGTCAAGCTTGGAATGAGAGGGCGGTTCGGGGGCCCAGCGAGAGCCATTGGAACTGAGACGCGTCGAAATCCTAATCAGGCTCGGCCCGCTCGAGCGGGGTCGCGCGCGGAGGTCGACTACGACGACGCGTCCCCGAGCGATTGAGACCGGCGTCTCAGACGGAGACAGATGCGTTCAAGCGTGGGCCCGAGTGGAGGGCGCCCAGGGCGTTCTCATATATTCTTAGTCAGGAGCTCACCCCGCGGGCCGTGGGCAACGTTGCCCTTGCAGAACCGTTCGAGGAGGAGTGCGAGGAGGCGGCGGCGAATCCGAGAGAGAGATGGGCGACGACGGCGAACTGCCTCGCCAGCCGCCCCCGCAACCTCGAACGCCACCGACGCCAGAGGGGGGGTGACTCGAAACGACGACGCAACGTTGGCAAGCAACGTCGAGGTGCCATGCGCGTCGCTGCCGATGCTCGAGACGACGACGATGCGAGGGGCTCTAGCCAGACGATGATGGCGCCTTCATGGAGGAGCGCTGCCACGGGCCAGTGAGGCGATTGCGGTGGCGATGGCAGTCGATCCACCAGCGCGGGCGAGCCGCCGCGAGTCTGTCTCCAGGCACTGCGCGGCCGCGGCCTTCGTCGAATCTGAGGCGCAGAAAGGGCAGATCGAGGTCAGAGAGCGGCTGCTCAGCGAGAGGGACAAGGGGCGCTGCGTGGCGCGGAGGCGAAGGGCGGGGACGTGAAGCTGCACGTCGAGCAAGTGGCGTTGGAGAAGTTTCCAGATCAACTTAGGGAATGTTGTAAGGGAGGCCTCCAACCGCGCTCCGGGCCCCAGGGAGACTGAGTCGCGCAGCTCACACCCCCCTCGGTGCAGGCCAGGTTGCCGCCGACAGGGCTGGCCCGCCTGGCAGGCTCCTGCGAGGGGCCTCCACTCCCTCCCTGCTCAGCTTGCGTCGGCCCCTCGCTCGGTGCTTGCTGGGCTCCTGCCGACAGGGTCGGCAGGCAGGGCAGGTCCAGAACAGCCCGGCAGCTCCCGCGGGCACGGCCGGTCTGCGCGCGCTCCTGCGCGCCTGCCCAGGCTCGCCGTCAGTGCACGCGGCGTTTCCCCCGGTGCGGTGCAGGGTTGGCGACCACCATCGGGTCGGCACGCCTGGCAAGCACCGTCCCTCTGCGTGGGTCGACGCTTTCCTGCTCCCCCTCGGTACAGGCCAGGCGGCCAGCGCTCGGCTGGCCAGCTGGCAGGCCCAAGATGGCCCGGACCCGCGGCCGCTTCGGGTCGGGGGTCGCTCCCAGTGCTCGTTTTCAGGGCGCTGGCGCGGCGCTCGGCAGCGCGCCTCGTGCGCCTGATGGGGGCTGGGCGGCCAAGCAAGGCCTGGTTCACCTCTTCGCCTCGTCTCGCTCTGCGGGTGGCCAACGTTTCGTCGCTGCCTCTCGGGCCATGCTGTGTGCTTCCTGGGGCGGCCCCCATCGCCGAGGGGCCCCCCCATGGCTCGTTCTAGGTCCGGGCGCAGCCTAGCACGCACGCCAGCGCGCCGCGGGCGTCCGCGGCCTGGCATCTGGCCAAGCAGCCGCCCACGGGCCCTTCCACACGGCGGAGGCAAGGCACCCGCCGTGGCATTTTTTGGCGCCCTCTTCGCCGCGTCCTCGGGGCCAGAATGCACCTATACGGCCGTTTGCCCTGCTTCGTGGCCGTTCGCTTGCCGGCTGGCCCATCCCGCCGCTTGCACGCGCACTCCCCGCTGCAGGCTGCGCCTCTTCCAACCTGTGGCTCTGAGCAGTCCTCTCTCACGGCAGTGCGCCTGGGCCTCCGGCGCTCCTGGCATGCGCACCGCAGGGTGCAATTAGCTGGATCGCGTCCGAATCTATGTCTCGCGACAGTGCTGCAATTTCGCCTGCGGAGGAAAATGTGTGTCCGCGTGTGTGTTCACAAGTGCTTGCTTCAACACTGCGAAGCTGGAGCACGTGTGCGTGTGTGTATATGATTGTCCAGCCTGGTTGAGGGCCGATCTACACATCAATATCCTTTGTAGGCGTAGTGATGTTGCCCCTTTCCTTAGCAGGAGGAAAGGGAGGAAGAGAAGGAAGGACACATAGTAGGATGAGGTGGATAAAGGAGGAGAGGCGGAGGAGGCGGATCAGGACAGGGTGGACGAAAGATGAAGATGAGGAGGAGGAGGATGAGGATGAGGAGGAAGATGAGGATGATGATGATGATGATGATGATGATGATGATGATGATGAGGAGGAGGAGGAGGAGGAGGAGGAGGAGGAGGGGGAGGAGGAGGAGGAGAAGAGCATGGCAACGATGCAGCCGACACTCTTACTATGTGGTCGGCGCAAGTGTCTCGCCTGCCTGAGCAGCACCGCGTTGCTGTTCAGGCGCGCTCAGATGTGCTTAATTTGTGGGTAAAGTAGGTTAGACGTGTGGGTGACGATCCGCCTGAGGACACCATACACCCGCCCACCCTCGCAAGAGACAAGCCTGATGACGATGACGATGATGATGATGATGATGATGATGATGATGATGATGATGAGGAGGAGGAGGAGGAGGAGGAGGAGGAGGAGGAGGAGGAGGAAGAGGAGAAGGAGGAGGAGGAGGAGAAGGAGGGAGGATGAGTGCGCATGGAAGGGGGCATTGTCTTTCCAGTCTCGGAGGGCCCGACCACCTCCTGCACCTGGCCCCTGCTCCTCTCGGTATCCGCATCTCCTCGGCCTCGAGGCGGGGGAGGGCCCATCGCTCCTGGCGCTCCCGGGCCTGCCTCTGCCGCCGCCCCTGGCCACTGCGACGGCAGGTCTCGACCGGAGGGGGCTAGGACGACGATGAATTCGTTCCAGCGCGTTCCGGATCTTTCTCAGAGCGTTCCGGAACGCTCTGAGAAGGCCGCAGCGCCCGATACACTCTCCAAGGCCGCCGGATCTCAGAGATTCTCGATTTACCCTCACCCGATTTTACCTTCGTCCTTGCTTCGTCTTGCTCGACCTAAATCGTGTTCCAGCGATCTCGTGGGCCGCTGTCGTCAGAGTTCGTAGTGCAGCAGAGGCGGAACGAAGACGGAACGAGGGCGCACGAGCACGAATCGGAAACGGAACGCCGTGCGTCGGGCGAGCCCTGCGCGAAGGACTCGTCCCTGGTCTTCTCGCCCTTCGTGCTGCTGTTCTCGAAGGCTCCGCGGGGCGGGCCCCTTGGGCAGGGCTGCGGCGCCCCGGGGGCCCGCGCCGCTCGACGGAGCCTCGGGCCCCGGCGCCGTGAGACGAGCTCCGCGGGCGTTGTCGCCCCTGCCCGATGCTCCGGAGCACAGGGGAGGAGAAAGGTACCCATATACCTCTCCCCTTCGCTCGTTTTGCCCTTTGGGGGGCCTCCTGGGCGGCCCTCGTCGCCACCGCTGGATGCGCCTCGAGATTCTGGTCAGAACGCGCCCCAGGAGAGGTCCGGGGAGTAGCGGTGTATCGGTACCTGTCGGTTTCCCCCGAAACACTTGGGAGCGGCCAGGTTCGGCTTTTGTTGCTCTGCCCTCCGGGGCCCTCGACGAGAACGATTGAGAGTGGGGAGCCGGCCCTATGGGGAAGTGGTCCAGGCCTCCGGGGGTCCACGCACCGGGCAACGGATATGGAGAGCCGGACGTCCGGCCCGTGCTGGGGCCCGGAGCCCTCGCATATGCGAGCCCAATTGCATCGGGGGTGGACAGAGCCCCCAACAGTGACACGTCGATTCGTGGATTGTCCGTTGTCGATTCTCGAGAGGGCGCCGTGGCCGTTCTTTTCCAGGCTTGCGCCCGCCAGGTTTGGGCCTCAGGTGGTTTTCACCAAACCACGTTTTACTAAAGGGGGTCTGTCCATGCCCGATTGCACGTCCTGGGCCGATGCATCTCCGAAAATGTAACAGAGGATGGGGTCGAAGGTTCGTGTGGCGGTTTCTCACGGCGTGGCCATGCACCACGACGTCGTCACCTCGGGGAAGCGCCGCAGCATGCAGGGAGCACGCGTGCCAGAGCGGCTGGCGCGCGTCGGGAATCGCACCGCCTCAGATGCGCGTCGGCCGTGGCATTCTTTTTTCCGATCCTGTGCGAGTGGCACTGGGTGGAGCAGGAGAGGGAGCCCTACTCTTGATATCGTGATTGTTTCAACATCAGTGTTTTTCTCAATGTCGGTCTCTGGATGCCCGTTTCGGATCCAAGGGCAGAACACATTGCTCTGGATGAAAAGCCTGGCTGAGAGATGGGGTCCGAACTTCCGAGGATTCCGAAGTGAAGAAAAAAACATTTCGTAGGTTTATGAATGGGTCTAGCTTTGAGTATGGGTAATCGGGTACGAGTGAATTTGAACGCGAGCAAGTGTTCTGATTGGGGTGTGAGCGAGTTCGATTAGTACTGAGTCTGAGTCTGGGTGGATCTGTGTGAGATGGCGTCTGAGTGTGAGTGGCTCTGAGAGCGAGTGGACCTGGGTGAGAGATTAGCTGCGCATCGGCAAGTCCAAGCGCGAGAGGCCTGAGCACGAAGTAGCTGTGAGCACGAGTGGGGTGTAGGAGCGAGTCAGAGGAGGAGTGACTCTGAGTGAGTGGCTTGGCTTGAGCGTGAGTGAACTGAGTGGGCGTGGATGGGTCAGGGAAGACGTGGGAAGGAGACGGGAAGGCGAGGGTGAGGCGGAGGCATCCCACCCCCAGTGCCAGGACCCCTCGTGCCCGGGGCCCGCACCCAGGGCACGGGGAGACGCTCGCGGGGGAGGACTGGGACGCCCCTCGGCCCCCGGCGTCGTGATTTGTTCTCAGAGCGCCGACCCCAGGAAGTCTCGACCCGTTCCTTCCCCCCTCCCCCTTTCACCTCCCCCTCCCCCTTCCCCTCCTCCTCCCCCTCCTCTTCTTCCTCCTCCTCGCCTCCTCCTCCTCCTCCTGCTCCTCCTCCTGCTCCTCCTCCTCCCTCTCCTCGCCTGTTCGTCCCGAATCGTTCCTTGACGGTCTCGAGGTCCCGGGAATGGCCCAGAAGCCGAAGATCACGAAACGTTTGCCGTGAGACATGGGGCGAGGCGATTCTCATCGACGAGGCCAAGGGGGAGATCCGCTTCGACAACTGGTGGGCCAGCATAAACCCCAAAGACCCCGCCCTGAAGGAGATCATGGACCTGCGCTCCCAGGCTGGCTGGCGCGACGGGGGAGGAGCAGCAGAGGACGGGGGAAAAGGGGGAGGTGGCGGGAGGTGGAGGGAGGAGGAGGAGGAGGAGGAGGAGGAGGAGGAGGAGGAGGAGGAGGAGGAGGAGGATGGAGGAGGAGGAGGAGGAGGAGGAGGAGGAGGAGGAGGAGGAGGAGGAGGAGGAGGAGGAGGAGGAGGAGGTGGGGAGGAGGAGGAGGGAGGAGGATGAGGAGGAGAAGGAGGAGGAGGAGGAGAAGGAGGAGGCGGATGAGGAGGAGGAGGAGGAGGAGGGGGAGGAGGAGGAGAAGGAGGAGGAGGAGGAGGAGAAGGAGGACCAGTGTAAACCCAAGAGTCAACAACGATGTTGGAATAAACATTCCCTCCGCGCTTCCTCTTCATAGGCCCCTACAACGGTTAATTTTCCATTTAGGGAACTGCCTCGTCGGAAGACAACCGATTGAAGACTCTGAAGTATGCCAAACCATTGTTCTCGGGATTCCAACGCCAAGGATCAACCTGACTGTTGCGTCGTGACCATCCTGAGTCGTGCCAACACGCCATTGCTGGACCTTCAACACTGCCATTCACTTCAACACTTACGAGGATGCAACACTTCAAACTGTTGCATCCTCGTAATTCTAAGTCTTTCCAAAACGCCATGTCTGTTACGCTGATCATTGCAATTTGCACAACTCTTGCAAATGTTCTAAGCGAATGTGCGCGGTGCTAAGGCGGGAGCCACATTTCGAAAAGGGGCGATCTGCCCTAGGCGATAGCCACACTTTGAGAAAGAACCGCCCTCAATTCGTGAAGCTTTTGCAAGTGTTTGAAACGAATGTGCGCGGCGCCAAGGCGAGAACCACATGTTGAAAAGGAACCGCCGTCAACCCGTGAAACCCTTGCAAATGTTTAATAAGACGAGTGTACGCGACGCTAAGGCGAGAGCCACGTTTTGAAAACCGCCCGCCCTCGACCTGCGAAAACCTTGTAATTTTTCTGACAGGATGTGCGCGGCGCTAAGGCGCGAACCACATTTTGAAAACCACCCACCGTCCATCTGCGAAACCTTGCCAAGTTGTAAGCTTCAGGGTCGTAAATGGTGAGGAAGTCTCAGGCGAAACGCCAGGCCCGCCCTAAACACTGGCCTCGGGGTGTGACAGGGAGAAATTATTTTGCAAGGAGAAGGAATGAAGGAAGAGAAGGGGGAGGAGGAGGGGGAGGGGGAGGAGGAGGAGGAGGAGGAGGAGGAGGAGGAGGAGGAGGAGGAGGAGGAGGAGGAGGAGAGGGGAAGGAGGAGGAGGAGGAGGAGGCGGAGGAGGAGGGGTCGTGGGAGGAGCAGGGCCCGTTTCGATTCCTCCGACCCGTCTCGGCTCAATGTCGATGGCTTCCGATACCGATTCGATTCGACTTCGGACTCCGGTCTGGATTCCGATCTCTCCACGGAGGCCTACCTGCCTGCCGATCTTTGCCGATTCGATTTTGCCCGACTCGGCTGCCGATTTCCGCGGATCCGATTCATGCCGATCGCCAGTCCGACTCATCCCGTCGATTCTAGGCTCTCTTGGGTAATTTGTGTGGAGGAGGAGCAGGAGGAGGAGGAGGAGGAGGAGGAGGAGGAGGAGGAGGAGGAGGGGTGCGAGAATGAGATGAAGGAGGGAGATGAACGGATCCTCGGGGTACGATCGCCCGCGCCTCGTGCGCTCGATCGCGGTCGGCCGCCCGGGAGGCTGGGCTCGCGCGCGCCGTACGGCCGCGCGATCTTCGCGGCAGGGGACCTTCGGCGGCTCCCAAGGCCGAGCCGCGGCACGGCGGCCGCGCCAGCGGCGGCAGCGGCGGCAGCGGCCGCTCGGGGGCCGTGGGGCGGCCGAGAGGCGCGGAGCGTGGTGAGCCCGCCTGGCACAGCAGACCACGGGCACCGCGGGCCGAGGCGCGCGGCATCGTACGCGTTCTGGCCGCAGCGAACACGTGGGGTCAGCATCGTTGAGCGCAGAGAGGCATGCCCGCTCCGTGGGGAAAAAGACCTTCTTGCAGCTACTTCAGAGGGTGCAGGGTTATCGACCACATCAATGGCTGGAGCTGCAAGAAGTGTTGGCCTGCGTATGTGAAGAAGCCGACCAAGCCACAGAATGAGCAGACTACAGACACAGCAGTCAAGCAGGTCATTGATACGACTGCGCCAGCCTTGGAAAGCATAGCTGCGAACTGCCAAGACCTGTACGAGACCCCCCGAAAGCATCCAGCCATGCAAACAGAGCCTTCCACCTCAAACCCGATACGATGGTCAGACTCGTGGCACGAGTCTTTCTCGCTTAATGGAATACAGGCGTGCGCCCAACAAAAGAGATCCATGATACCGCAGTCCTCAAACACAACTTCGCCAGACCAAAGAAGCAACGCGTCGAGACAAATAGGCGGATCAAGGGAACGGAGGCATAGATCAAGACCACCGACTTGCACATCAAAGGCCTGAAACACCAAGGTCACGAGGACGAAACAGACGAAGATGCGGATGGCGAGCCCGAGTCGGACTACGAGGAAAACGTGGGTGAGGGGAGGGTGCCCAACAGGACCCTGCAATCTGAGGTACGCCACCGCATTGCATCACATTAATTCATCAGCGCCCTGAGCCAACATGTTCGTCTGCGTCATCACTTGCCCAGATGAGAAGCAGCCGCAAGAAACTATAGCAGCGGCAGCGCCGTAATCACGTCCCCGGCAGCAATCTGCGACATATGCGAATGGAGAGCTGCAAGCCCAAACAGGCCATATCGGAGGAGGCTGCAGTGCAGCAGTGCTTGTGAACAACCAATATGCAGACCACGGCAGCTGGCACCCAGAACAGAACGAGATGAACATGCAGCAAACAGCCGCCGGCATAGCCTTCAGAATCTGGCAGCAGGTGGAGGAGGCGAAGCGGCAAGTCAACATGCAGCACATGGAGCAGCAGCGGCTGGAGCAGGCGAAACAGAAAAACCTTCCAGACGGCTGAAACGTGAGCGGCGGTTTAGGCGGAGGGAACTAGACAGAACATGTCGCACCAACATGCAGCAGGGAAGGCGGCAGTGGATGCAGCCGACAGGAGACATGGCAAAAGGCAGAGAAAACCATGCAGCAGAGGCACGATATGAAATCGTCACACGTCCGACGTGGGATGCGGACAGTGACCGTGCTGATCTAATAGCAAGTGATGGTTTGGGTCGGACGAGGAATGGTACGTGTGTCACCGAGCACATCTTGGTGCCTGAGGCGGTTCACGGCTGGGCGGCGGCCCAGCACGAGGCTCACAGTATGCCGATATGGCCGCCGCTGGTCAGCGCCGCGGAGTCCGTCAGCACGGCTTGCACGAGGTCCCCGACATCCGGCTCGATCGTTGCGTGAGAAGACGGGCGCGACCAGATGGGCCGGATGCGCGAAGCCGAGACCTTGTCGAGCGCGGCTGTCTCCGAAGTTATCCACAGCGAAGAAGCCAACCGTTGACGAATAATTATTGCAATGCCAGTGGCCAGGACAACAGCGAGGAGACGAAAGGAATGCCGGGCGACGGACCAGGGCCAATCGGCGCAATCGCACCGCGTCGATCAGTGGCAGAGCGAATACCCACGACTGGAGAGGATCGGCAATGACCAGGCTGGGGCCATCCGGAGCGCCGCGCCATTCCTGGGGTCGGCCGCGGCAGGGGCCGTCGTGGCGGCAGGGGCGGTGAAGGGCGAGGTGGCGGCATCGGACATTGCAAGTGCACAGTGGAGAATCCGACGACTTCGCGGAGCATTCTGGAGGGGCGTCGCGCTGGAGGGCGACGCGAGAAGATGCGCGCTGGCAGCGGGCGGCATTCCAGCGGCAGCCGCGCGTCAGCAGCGGCCGCGTCGTCGAAACCTCTTTGTAACGCACTTTCAGGGGCGTCGCGCGCGCGAGCGGCGGCGGGGCTCGAGGAGACAACCAGAGGAAGAAATGGCCCGATGCGACATGGCAGCTGTGACGTCGAGACCATCGCGACGCTGCTGCGCAGCCGCCAGGGGCGCATCCGCGGGACAGGCTAACCGCGAGATTCTACGGGAGTGGGGGCGGGGGCAGAGGGGGTTTCTGCCCCGGGCGGCCTCGCGGTTATCGGGCTGCGCCCCATCGCAGAAAGGGCTGTGCTAGCGCGCCCGCGGGCGCGTGCGAAGCCGCGCGAGGCGCGTCCGCGCGCGGATGGGAGCTGCGCAACGGCCGCGGGGCGGCGCTGCTCTCGGGCGGCGGCGGCGGCTGCGCGGACGAACCAAGGGCGCCGCTGCCGCCCAAGTCGGGGGGGGGGGGGGGGGGGGGGGGGGGCGCGGCCGCGATCGGGGACTTCGACGAGGCGAAGATGGTCTACAGCGCGGCAGAAATGACGGCCCACCTCTCTGCCATCGCGAAGTTCACTCTTTCAGGGCCAGCATCCACGCGGGCGGCGTGGCGGAAAAAGGGCCGCGCTGAAGGCCGATGCGATATCGGCGACGAGAGAAGCTCATGCTGCGCGCGACGCCGACGCAGAAATTTGAGCCACCCTCGCGCGCGTCAAGTTTCGCGACGGCGGCGCGGGGAACGAAATGGCAGACCAAATTACGAATGGTAGGTGCGCCGAGAAATCGGATGAACGACGAACGCGTCGCAGGAAGTCATCGACGCGATGGCGTGCCGAAGGGGTGGGGGTTGGCAATGGGTTGGAGCGGCCCCCGCCAAGGGCGGGGCCGCGCCTTTCGGCTGCGATCGTTTTCCCAGCAGCTAGCCCGCCCACGCCCGATCGCCGGTCTATCGCCCCGCTCCTTGCCCCGATCCAATGCTGGTCAGCCGCGGCCTGCCGGTCGGCATCAGTCGGCCCGGCGGCGTCAGTCGGGCGAGTTCTGGTCGCCCCCCCGCCCGAGGTCTTCGAGCCGTTCAGTAAGACGATGGGGGGGTCATGTCAGGGCGAACCCGAGCGCCAGGGCCAAAGCGGCCGCCGCCGTCGCGAACGAGGAAGTCCGCGCCTAGCACGATTTCCCCAAAAGGTGGCGCGCCGACGCAGCCTGCCATTTCTACGAGGGCGTTCTCGCCCCCGCGCTCTGGCGTTGCCAGGGGGGGCGAGCCGACTGCCGCTGGGTGCAAGTCTACAAAGGCTGCTGACTGCAAGCGGCCGGGCAGTCCGGCTCGTCCGCGGCGTCCGCTGGTCGGCCTGTCGGTCGCTGCCCGCCCGCGTTCGCCCGGGCCCCGCGCCCCAGTCGGCGGCGGTCGTCGCGCTCGTGCGGCGCCTGAAGATCGATCCGATCAGATTCCCCAAGTATTCCCATGACATCAGCTCTTTTGACAACCTTCCACGGCGGAGGTCCGCGGGCGCGTGGCGGCGCAGACTGCTTTCAAGGCGCGCCTGAGGCTCGTCGCCGCGGGCGCCCCGAACTGCGTCGCCAGGGCAGCGGCGTCCGAGACCAAGGCGAGGCCGCGAGGGCCCGAGCGCGGACTAGCTGCTGCCGCCGTGTACTCGGCGGGCAATCGAGCTGACACGGTGGCCCAGCTTCTGCTGGAGCGTAAGTCCTGCCCGGTCGCAGAGACTGGCGCCGCCGGTTACTCGGCGCATATTTAGACGCAGCTCGCGCGTGCGTGTTTCGACGCAGTTGCTCCGGAGCCTTCTGTCATGCGTTGCGTGGCCCCTGTGGCAAAAAGGCGCTGTTCCGTATATTCAGAACAGAATCGGGGCCGAAAGCCGCGATTGTGATTTGCCTGCTCTGGCGCCGCGTGGATGGTCCTGCAAGGCCGGCGCCCAGCGATGTCCTGGGCGGTGTCGAGTTTATCGTGGCTGACCTGGTGTCGTATGGGTGGTGGCGGCGGTGTGTACCGGGTCCCCTTGGGTGTTCTCTCTGACTATTCTCTCTGACTATTCCGAAGTGTTCGTTGCCGACCTAGGTGCCGATCTGCGGCGTTCCATGGTTGATGCCCGATGATGCCTGCAATGGCTGATGCAGACCACCGGCGTTGAGGACGGCGCCCGAGAAACGTTGCCAGACTTGCAACATCGCCATTGCTGCCCGCCTGTCCCGAAAGCCTTGTGAGATCACAACTAGAGCACAAGTTGAGCACAACCTAGAGCACGATCTAGAGCACACTTCGTTTCGCGGGCCCTTCTTCGCCCGCTAGAGGAGCGCAGATTCTTGCCGAAAATTGACTTTTGCGCGTCCGCCTGAGGAAGGCGCTGGCAGCGCCACTGGCTTTAGTTGCACAGTGGCACGTTGGCTGCCCACGACCTCCCCCCTTGCGCCTCATCCCTTCATTAGCTCTGCATGATCACGAGGGCAGTTGCGCGGGCATCGCTGGCGAGATTCAGTCGGGGTACGCACGCGCGGGCTCCCTCCCCCTCCATGCCTTCTCTTCCCCGCGACGGCCGCTCGCCGCGCTGGAGAAAAGACACTGCCAATATCGTTTATTCGCCGCTATGTGGAACCAGCGCGGAGAACCGCCGTTTGCGAAATAAGCTTCCGTCTGAGTCTAGTTAACAAGACGTCGGAACACGCCCCCCTTGCTCCGCATGTCAAGGCTGACGCGGAGTGTTTGGCTCCTCGCAGCAGTAAGCAGCTATTTCGCAAAACTTCACGCCCCCCTCAGGCGGCGAAGTCGCCCGCCAATTTTGAGATGCGGTGTGCGGGTTTTTTTGGGGGGCATTTTCCTTGACGGGCGCTTATGTTGCAAACGGCAGCAGCACGTGCCTGCGCGACGGGGTGTTTGCTGCCGTTTCTTGTTTGTGCGTCCATTCGTTGGGTCCACCTCCACTTTGCTCGATCGAGTAGCAGGCCCAACCTCAAACCATATCTGCTCCCTTGGCGCCGACGGCATTTTCATCACATTGCAAAGGCATTGCCTTGCCTACGGAACACTCGCGTGAAACATCACAGCCGGGCGCATCAGGACTTGTCACCGAAGCAATGGCGACGCGTAGTAGGAATGGGAGGAGGGGCGGAAAGACAGCGGCGATGATGAGGACAGAGAGGAGGAACGGGAGGGCTGTGAACGGGGGCCAGCAGCTCGAAGGCCCTGCAGGTTTCGGCGCCCCGCCGATGTGGGCATGCACGCCATGGCATCGGAAGGGCTCTTGGGCGTCGAGGAGGAGGTACGTCTGTGGAGACCACGTGCCACAGGCCACGATCAAGGCGAGCAGAACAGTGCATGAACTTGTTTTGACGGGGCGTCGCGCGGGACACGGCGCCCGCGGGGCAAGTGGAGGGGAGGCTCGCCACTCTTGGACGCCAGCCTCACGGCTACCCTCGAGGGGCGTGAGGTGCTGGAGCAGCAAAAAATGAGATTGCCGGCGACGTGCTGGCCCCGCCATGGATCCGCCACGCTGGCCAGAGCGAGGGCGCCAACAAATCAGTAAGGAGATCAATATGGCACGCCCTGGCCAGGCGGCGAGGGCCGAGTGCCCCGAGAGCGACGCGAACTGGCCAACATGAAGGAATCGTATCTGCATCCGCGTGCTTCTGCGAAGGGGGGGGGGGGGGGGAAGGGGCGGGGGTCAGAGGGGCCAGGAGGGCAGGGCCGGGTATGTCGCCCCAGACACATAGCACATGGTCTCGATCCCCAGGCAGGCGAAAGGCCTTCACAGAGAGAACACAGGCAGGGCCTTCAAGGGCCCGCGCCGGATAGATAGCACGTGAACATACGGTGCACACCTTTCGTGATGTCCGCGGAGTGGGATCAATCAGGTAGCACGTGCAGGGGTGGCTGCAGGCGGTAGCAGAGCGGACAGTGAGCACATGAACGGAGGATAGTGTTGCAAACATTACCGGCTTTTTATTTGCATAAGCGCATTGCCGTAGGATAGAAGGCTCCCCGGATTGCTGCGGGGCTGCCTCCAGTGACCCTTCGATGTTCCCGCCCCCCTCTGCACTTTCCTGCTAGCTTCTGCAAGGTTCAATGGGGATGTTCGGAGGCGATCCGAGCCTTGGGCGTGCCCATTTATGGACGGTCTGCTGTCCAGGGCTTGAGGAGGAGGAGGAGGAGGAGGAGGAGGAGGAGGAGGAGGAGGCGGAGGCGAGGGCATAGGCGCACCCACGCGAATCTGTCCGCAGCTTCGAGGCGTCGAGGGGGAGGAGCGGGACGAGGAGGTGGACGAGGAGGAGGAGGAGGAGGAGTGCAGCCAACGCCTGCGGGCATGCCGCTTTGTCTTGCGGTGGGTGGGTGGGTGGAATGGCGGTCCTGCCGAAGCAGGTGCTCCCCAAGTTCAAGGAGGCCGTCGAGAGCAGGGACCTGTCCCTCCGCCTGCCGCCCAAGACAAGCTGCAGCCAACTCGCCGAGATGAGGGCCACTTTTGGGCTCAGGGGAGGCTCCCTTCGTCGGGTCGTTCCATAGATCTTTGGTCGGGGAATCGGTTCGACGGCGATGATCGCCGTGGCCAGAAAAGCCCCTGCTTTCAGTCTTCACCGTTCCTTGTGGTAGGCACGATGGCTGTGCCCCCCCTTTCCCCCCGCCTCCCCTCGCTCCTCATCCGCCCCCCCTTTAGACAACTAGTCGAATCTGATTGGTAGGTCGACCCTGCCAAATCCAGGGTACACTTTTGCCCTGGGTTCAGCGACCCGCACCTTCTACACTCCCCTGGCAATGCAGCCTTCGGAAGAGTCTTTGTCATCTCGCGTTTTCTCTAGAATCAAGATTAACTGTAGCTTGGGGAGTCTATTCGAAGCCGTGGCTCGCCATGGTCAGAAAAGTCCCTTCCTTACTCAGTGTCCTTTGTTGCAGCACGATGACTGCACCACCCTTTGACACTTCCATGTTATGAATACTACTCTCCGTTCTCCTTTGAGTCCATCCACGTTTTGTTTCCCTCAGGATCTCACCTGTTTATGTTCCTTATGGATGTTTCATTTTTTGTTGCGTCTCAAGATCGTGTTCCCGCTGCAGCGGGAGCCCCCTTTATTGATCGGCGCTTTGCCCCCGTCGTTCAGAATGGCGCTCTCGCCTCAGCGTTGGCCACTTTTCTGGATCCGAGTCCCTGTTCATTGTTGTCGCTCCCACGTTTGCCCTACTCCGCCTTCCCATGGTACTCTTGCTCCTCCCGCTCCTTTCAACTCCAGTTACTGTTGCTGCTGTTCGTCCTCGTCCTCCTTCGACATCATACTTCTTTTCCTCCTCCTTTCCTCCCTCCTTTTCCTCCTGCCTATCCTCCTGCTCATCCGCCACTTCCTCCTCCTATGTGCGCAACTATCCTTTCTCCGATTTCGCATGCCACGATGAGGTCTTGTGTTTGGAGTTCCAGGCTGTGACACGCGTCCTCGGATACTAACATCAAACATCTCAATGGGAGGGGACGGGAGGCAGGTATAGGATGTCAGATGTGGCCCGAGTGTACCTGGCTTCCCCCCTTCCCTCGCTCCTCATCTTCCCCCTCCTCGCTTCAGAAATCTGATGGGGGTATCGCAATACTGTGAGTGCTCCTTGGCATGATCCTGTCGTGTGCCTCTTCCCTGTTCTACTCAAGAGGCTTACGCCATTCCGCCGACACCAGAAGAGGAGAGCAGTCCACGCTATGATGTGCCGTTGACCGGGTTGTGGTTTTTGTGCAGGGTGCTTTGGGGAAGGGGTGGCGGTCTTGGGTCCCGTGTGGAGCGTTCCTTTGGCCGTATTGGGGGCGTCGTGGGCCCTTTTGGGAGGCCAGCCAGTGGTCTTGTGGTCCCTCTCAGAGGCCTCTGCTGGCGATGGGGCGAGAAATAAACAATGATTGAAACACCTTAGGGGTTTGATGATTATGGTCTCTGGGCTCCATCTTGGGAAGCCTGGGGACTTTCTTGGGGGGTAGTTTGTCTCGAGGCTTCTTCTGCATGTTGGAGCCCTTGTGGATGTGGAGACATCTTGGAGTGCACCTTTGAAGCGTCCGAGGGTGGATTCTCAGGAGTCTGAGGGCCCCAGGGCCAATGGGTGCTTTAACGAGCTCGTCGCCCCGCCTCTTCCCCACCTTCTGAGGGTGCTCTTCGGCGGCGAGCGAGGGGGGGAAATGAGAAGGGGCGGGCCTTCTCAGAAGGCTCGGAAGTCCCCCGGCCTTCTGAGAAGTTTTCTGAGCTCTCCCCGAAGACAGAAAACAATCTCAGAAGGCGCGAGGGCTTCTGAGAAGTCCCGCCGCCTTCTGAGAAGGCCTCTTCTCCTTCTCACTTCCCCCCCATCGCTCGCCGCCAAACTCTGGGAACCCGGGGAGGGGGAGCCAGTCCGATGGGGACAGCCAGACATCTCACGCACCGTCTCGCGCCCCGCAGGCGGGGGCCGGCCGGTTCTTTCGCGCTCGGCTCCCTGCGCCTCTCTTGTCGTGCTCGACCCGCGAATCCTCAGACGAATTTCGCAGGCCTAGAGGTTGACACCAACACCCAATATCGGCGTTGTGCCTCCAGCGACGTACGACGATCCCGATCTCGGTGATGGTGGCAGTGTTCTGGCTTCCAAGGTGACCGAACTATTACCACCAACACCGAACTCGAGGATCATCTTCCCCCTGTGGAGGCAGCCCCCCGTGTCGGTGTTGGTGCCAATCTCCAGGCCTCCGTGAGTGGGCTCTCGGCGGTGTGGCGCGGCACTGCCGACCGGCAGTGCGGCGACCAGGCCGCGCAGCGTGCGCACGCGCGGGCACGGCGCGCACTGGACGGGAGCCGCTGCGTGGCTCAGCTGCCTCGGCACGCCCGTTGGGATACGCCATACGTCCCGTGTTCGAACAGCGCGTTTTCCACCACCACCACCATAAGTTGGATGGGGCGAAGGGGGAGGAGGAGGAGGAGGAGGAGGAGGAGGAGGAGGAGGAGGAGGAGCAGGAGGAGGAGGAGGACCCCCCCCTCCAACTTGTGGTGGTGGTGGTGGTGGAAAACACGCTCATCGTGTTCGAGACGTCCGTCCCAAGACGCTGCGTGTTGCTCCACGACCGGGGCCGCGTTCTGGCGAGCGCAGCGCGCGTCGGACCTGCGTGTTCGGCCGGCGTGTGGAGCTCCGTGGCGATACGCTGCGTGTTGCGCGTGGCGTATCGGGGCAGCTGCGCGCTGGTGGCCTCGGTGGGCCTCGGTGGGCCTCGGTGGGCCGCTCCGGCCCGGGCCTCCCGCCCCGGGGAAGTCTGAGAGGCGCTCGGGTGGCGCCGCAGCTCGGCCGCTCGTCGTGCTGCTTCCGGGCACGCGTGGCAGGCAGGTGGGGTCGGAGGAGTGCAGTGCCCAAGAGGAGGGGAAGGAGGAGGAGGGGGAGGAGGCGGAGGAGGGAAGAAGAAGGAGGAGGAGGAGGAGGAGGAGCAGAGGCGAAGCGACACGAGCACCACCAGGGGGCCCACCTCCAGCGAGGAGGTCCAGGATGCCTCCTCGAGGCGGAGGCTGGGGATGCCTCGGGCGAGAGGGGCGGACGAGACCACCAGGAGACCCCCCTTTGCTCCTCGCGTCTCCACGCGCTGGGGGTGTCGGTGTCGCCCTGCCTTGTTCCTATGGGGTGGTTTTGCCGTTGTTGTGTTTCCTCCCCCCTTGGGCGTCGCTGCGACCCCTTGGAGTGCCGAGTCGTCCGAGTTCGCCCTCGCTGGTGCCCAGGTCCCTCTTCCCAAAGCAGCTCACGACGCGCATGGCCAAGGCAGGGCCGCCGGGTGAATTGGACGAACGAAGCAGAGAGGGCAAGAAGATGGTGGGCGTTGCCAGCGCTGCCCTACATCTGTGCAAGTGTGTGTGTGTGTGTGCATCAGCGGTGGAATCGTGTGCGTCATCATGTGCTACGGCGTCACGCAGTTCAGCGAGACGCAGGGTCAGCAGGATCATGCCATGCTGTGGACAGCTCGCTTGGACATGCTATATATGCGACGAATGGCCTCGCAGAGGACTGCCGGGGGCCGCTCCTGGGGACTCCTCTCGCTGGTGGCCGCTTGTTGCTTTCCTGCGGGCCTCTTCGGCGTCTCCGGGGGGGCATCTCGGGCGCCCCCTTGCGGGCCTGCTGCGGGCGGGTCTCGGGGGGGGCCCTTTTCTCGGGGTAGTCTGCATGGCCCCGTGGCCCCGTCCTGGCGGCCGTGGGGGGCCTTCTGAGGGCGACCCTCGGCGGCCACAGGGCCGCAGTTCGGACGGTGCCGAGCTCACTCCGCAACTCGTCGCCTTCCCACCGAGTTTTTGCGACTCGGGCTGGCGGCCAAGACGGGCCTCATCCTTCGAGCCTCTCGAGGCCGCGGCCTCCGCCGCGGCCGCCGCGCGCGGCGAGGCGTGCATGTCCGCGCCGATCGCCCTCAAGAGCATGGAGCCCATGCGAAAGTCGCCCCGCCGCGCAGTCGCTGGGCATAACCCATCCTCCTGCCGGGTTGAGCACGCATGTCCCCGAGGATCTCGGGCATCGGGGCGGGACGAGAAGAGCGGGGCTTGGCCCTATGGGGGATACAGCAACGTTTGGGCGAGGTGGGGATACACGTCGGTCGTAGAGAGTATGCATTGTTGGACTGCCAGGTTCCAAACTGTGTTAGGCACCTCCCTGCGTTACGGGTCGAGCGGTTTTCCCGCTTCCCTCCTCTTCAGGGGGCGGGCGGAAACCCAGTCGATTGCCAACGCCTTCCTGCTGCATGTTTCTCTGCCCACTTCTTCCGACCGACGGGTATTTCCATCGACCCCCAATCGCCAATTCATCGCCGATTGTCGCTCGGATGGATGTGGACGCATCAGGGCGGGAACTATCCACGCGGTCCGCGAGATCCTCGAGGACCCTCGGAGGCATGCCCTCAAACCAGTGCGTGTGGGGAAATCCCTGTCGTGGGCGCCAGAGCATCGAGGCTGTCGTGCTTGGGGGCGATTTTGGGGACTCTGGTAACCTCGGGGACATCCAGGGAGCCCATGCGGAGGCCCTTCCTCCTCGTCCTCGTCGGCCTTGTCCTCGCCCATCTCGTCCTTGTCCTCGTCCCCCTCGTCCTCCTCCTCCTCCTCCTTCTCCTCCTCCTCCTCCTCCTCAGTTGTTCCTCCTCCTCCTCCTCCTCCTCCTCCTCCTGTCCTCCTCCTCCTCCTCCTCCTCCTCCTCCTCCTCCTCCTCCTCCTCCTCCTCCTCCCCGTTCCCAGTCCGTCTCCTGGGGGACCCACGCGTTGGCCGCAATTCACGGAGAAGTGGGCAGTCTCCTGGAAGTCTGAGTCGCACCGCGGTCATTGGCTTCGCGATCTCTTGTCGTTTGGCTCGTCATGCGAACAGCGAGCATCGAGACATGTGGATCTCGTGCAAGGAATAACCATATGCTGGATGTCTTGGAGGGGTCGAATTGGTTGCAAACTCGCCCCAGGGATCGCTAGAGCCGGGTGCGGGAAGTTGAGGTGGGGTGGAGGGGGCTTGGCTCTGCCCCCTGCGGCCGGCCGCTGGCGGGCGGCGAAGCACGCTGCGAACATCCTCTTCGGCGTGGATCAGTCAGTCAGGTGGAGCTGGAGGAGGACGAGGAGGAGGAGGAGGAGGAGGAGGAGCAGGAGGACAATTGCGGGGAGGAGGAGGAGGAGCAGGAGGAGGAGCAAGAGGAGGAGGAGGAGGAGGAGGAGGGATGAAGAAGAGCGAGAGGGAGGAGGAAGCAGGGATCAGTGGGAGGAGGAGGAGGAGGAGGAGGAGGAGGAGGAGGAGGAGGAGGAGCCTGCGGAGGCACTCGGGGGTCCCGGAGGTCTCGGCGGCCTCCGGAGGCCGTGTGGCACAAGGGTCCGGGGACCTCCGTGCTCCTCCTCGGCCCTCCGCCTCGCCGAGGAGGGCGGAGGAGGCGGAGGACCCGTCGCGCTGCGGCTCGGGCCTCCCCCTCGTCCTCCCCGTCTCGGCCCCTCGCCTGCCCGCCTTCGTCTGCCCCCGCGCCGACGGGCGCCACAGCGTTTACAGAGCTACGATTAAGTCGGGCCTGTCCCTCTACGGGAGGAATATTCAATAATAGTCAAAACATAGTCTGGGGACTATTGCTGGGCCATTTCCGAATATTTTCGCTTATGTTTTGACTTTTTTTAAATTTTTCGCTTAAAATCGGCCTGTACGGGGACAGGCCCGACTTAAAGCTACGAGAGTGTTCAAGCCCCCATCAGGGGCAGCGGCCCCTGGCGGGGGGGGGCATTCTCCGACGGGTCCTGCGCCATCAGGTCCCTGCCCTTGGGTGCGGGGTCCTTGCGCGCGGCCCGCGAGGCTCAAGTCGACGTCGGCCTCCTGCGAGGCAGGCTCTGCCTCGCCCCTCCCAGGAGCTGCAGCTGCCCCGGGTGGGTCGCCCCAGAGGCCCCGCCACAGGAGCAGCCCCCTGCTTCTGGTTGGCCCTCGTGGGGCGTTTTTGGGATGGGTCTCTCAGGGCCTCCAGAGGCCTGTGGTGAGCTGTGGCCGCGCTGCCTGGCCCAGCCGCGTTGGGCGCCCGCCTCTAGGCCAGGGTCACCGGGAGGGGCGTGACGGGTGCCTTCCAGGATTTTCGGCTTCGCGTGTCGCGCCGACGGTCCTGGCCCACCACGCTTCGACGCGACACGCTACAGTGGAGACCCATGCCAAGAAGCACCCTGCTTGCCTCCAGGGTGCCCTGGGTGTCTTGGGTTCTGATGGTCTTGCTGTGGAAAGCGTGACGTTCCCACACCAAAAATCAATGAACGTCCTGGGCTCTCAGGGTTGGATTTCTTGAAGAATGTTTTTTGATGTTTTTTGTGGTCGAGCTCCTACTGTAACGACTTCCACGTCCCCGAGCGTCAACGTCCCGAGCCTTTCCCAGCCTCCCGCCCCAAAGGAGTTGAGCGACGCGCGATCCGTTCGCAATGCGCAGCATGTCGCCGGGGCCGCCGCCGCGACACGCTAACCAAAGTTCTCTGACCTTGCGGTCGAGTCGCTGAAATAAGGACCACTCTGGGATCAGGGGGGGCTCTGGTTTCAGGGCCGTTCCTTAGATCCAGGTCGGGGATCTATTCGTGGCCGAGGCTCGCCGTGGCCAGAACAGCCCTGAGTTCCTTATTCAACGTTCCTTATGGTAGCACCATGTCTGTGACCGCGCTTGGCACCTTGACGGCCAGGATCCGGCGCAAGCCCAACATAGTAATACTACGTGTCCGCCGCCCCCCCAGGGGCGATTCGCTCGCCGAAATATCTTATAATATAATAGTGAAAGCTCCGCGTGGGTGGCGCTTTCTGGCCGTACCGCTCAGGAAGCGATCTGTTACAAGTTGGTCGTTTTCTATGGTTGTGTCGGACGCACGCCTCCGGGGAGGACACATCGTACGCGAGGTTCATGCGGCGTTGGAGCGCCGGCGTCGCCAGCGAAGGCGTTCAAGGTTGAATACTGTGATGCGGGAGCACCGAGGGACACAGTAACGCTAGTGGATCCGATATACTTCAGCTTTGAACGATCGGTGCCGCGATCGGTTCCAGGTTGAACGATCGACGCGGTGTCAACAACTCTTTGCGCGCGCCGACGCCGCACGAACCTGCCGTGCTAGTACGTCCCTGTTCACCACCCACCAACCCACCCCAACCCAACCTGACGGCCCCGATTTGCCCTCCATTTCCTGTGGGGGGGGGGGGGCGGGGAACATGGACAAAAACACGCATCGAGTCCGTACACCCCCCCCCGCCCCGAAATTCGGGTCTCCGGGTTGGGTTGGGGTGGTTCGGTACCCGGCCGGCGGAGCGCGCCTGGCAGTCGGCCGAGCAGCTGGCGGGCTCCCGCGAGCCTTGCGGAGGCCTCCCTGCGCGCGGCTCGAGAGCGCCCCGTCGGCGCTCTTGCGCCTCCTGGGCCTCCTGTGCGTCCCGTGGGTTCTGGCTGGCCGCTCCCCCCCAAGGGGGGCAGCACGGGGGCGCGGAGGCGGCCGCGCCTCGCGCGGCGCGCGCGCGCAGATCGCGGAGCCCTGGGAATATGTTTTGCCGGCGACGGCTGGGCGGCGGTCGGGCGAAGCCTGCCGGCCCCCTCCGCGCGAGGCTCGCGCACGTCGAGGGCCTCGTCCCCGCACGGCTCCAGGGCAGTCGCACGGGGGGCGTTCGGTCAAGCAGTGGCGAAGAAGCGTCCGGGCTTGCCTGCACTTCCGCCAAAGAATGTTCCAAGAACCTCTTGTGGTCTGCACGGCATGTTCTTAGACCATCTCTGGCTGAGACCATTGTGTTTGTTCTTAGGCGGCCTACACGAATGCCAGGACGGTCGGTCCCTGCCCAATTCGGGGGGGCGCTCCTCCTGCTGAGATGGAGCCTCACATACTTTTGTTCATATGACCAGTGGACGCCATAACAAAAGAAAAGACGCCATACTTTTTTGCATGACCACCTGGTAGTCTTTCGTGCAACAGTGTTGTGTGGTGTTCCATCTTAACTCCGCGCGTGTTGTATGGCAGCTCGTTTTGATGACAGCGACCCGCGCCCTCCTCCTCCTCCTCGCCCTCCTACTCCTCGCCCTCCTCCTCCTCGCCCTCCTCGTCCTCGCCCCCCTCCTCCCCCACCTCCTCTCCCTCCTCCTCCTCGCCCTCCTCCTCCTCGCCCTCCTCCTCCTCCTCGCCCTCCTCCTCCTACGACTCCGTTCCTCCTCGCCCTCCTCCTCCTCCTCCTCCTCCTCCTCCTCCTCCCGCGACTCACGCCAACTCCTGTCCTGCAAAGCCTGACTGACCCGGATCTTGATTGTCCCGTGTCGGTAGACCCCCGACTTCCCTCTCCCGTGCCGCTCGAGGCCTCGGTATCGGCGCGGTGGCAGCAGAGGAGCGACGCTGACAACGATAACAACGAGAACAGCGACAACTCAGAGGAGGAAAAGGTACGCTACCCGTCGCCCGTTGTCCTTCTTGGGGGGCCTCCTCGGAGGCCTTCGTCGCCGCCGCTGGATTCGCCTCGAAGTCTTGGTCAGAACGCACCCCTGGAGAGGTCCTGGGAGTAGCGGCATCGGTACCGTTTGGTTTCCCCGATCATCCGATGGAAAGAGCACAAGGCACGGAACAAGAGAGGACCGGCGAGGATTTTGCCGACCTCAGGTCGTTGTGATCGACATCGTTGTTATCGTTGGCAGCGGGGCTCAAAGCCCCTCCCCTTGCCCGTTGCCCTCTCGGCGCCCGCATCCCAAGAGAGGACGTAGCGCCGTGGCCGTGCTCCGGCCAGCTGCCGTGAGGGCGGCACGGGTAGCCTTCCATTGCCCTTGTGGGCCCGGCGTCGTCGGCGGCGGTCAGCTGTTCTCGTCGGCGATGTCATATTTAAGAGGGCAGCCATCCGTGGGCAGTCCCACTCTCTCTCCCGCGTTCAGAGATGGCACGCGCGGGGAAGACTGCAGTCGAAGGGTGACTCATTGAACCCACCACCAACTTCGATCATCGGCCGGGGGGCATTGGCGAATGAATGTGATATGAGTGTTCGCTAATGTATTCCGAGGCCTGTATCTAGGCTGTGCAGCTCTTGCTCGATCTTGCTGGGTCCTGCTGTATCCCCCCTCCCACTCGAGCTTCAGCGGCAACCTGACTGCACTGGGGGCAGAGGGGGGGCGCTCTCTCATATGATATTTTTGTCCTGGACTTCGGGTGCTGTCACGGCCGTCGGCTTTCGGCGGGCTCGTCGGATCTTTGGCGTTGCCCTAGCAGGAGAGGTGAAGTTGGAGGAGAACAGGAAGCAGGAGGACGAGGAGGAGGAGGAGGAGGAGGAGGAGGAGTGCTCGGGACTCGTGTAGACATCGTTGCCCCTGTGCCTCGATGCTCACGTCAGCGGCGTCGAACAGGACACGCGGCACCGATGGGGCTCCGCATCCACACCGGTGGTGCCGCACCAGGGATGCCGTGGCTCGGAGGCGCCAGCGTTGCGTTGGTCCGACGCGCCTGCCTGCCAGTCGCGCCGGCCGCCGTGAGAGCTCGCGTCGCGGTGTGCAGTCCGCGGCCAGGTCCATCGACGAGGAGACCACGGGAGCCGCGCGGAGGCTTCGGCGCTCGTTCGTTTTTGTTGGGGGGGAGGGGTGGCGCTCCTCCGTTTCTTCGTCACGCTGTTGTTGTTTTCTTCGTCTTCTTCTACGTCCTATTTTATGATGCTCCAACCTACTTTAGCCTGGATCACCAGACATAGTTTCCAGCGCCAAAACAAGTACCGATCTTCAAGGGTTTTCACGCCTCGGGCCCTGGGAGACACTCGCCCGACACTGTTTCGACACTGTTTCGACACTCTTTCGACGCTTGTCCGAGTGCTCGAACTTATTTCTGGGATGCGGTCCTTAAGTAGGATGGGAACAGCATAATTCGTATTGGCATTATTGCTATCTTGTCATCATGGTTCTCTCATGCCTCTTCATCCTGAGGGAGGGGTGGTGCTCCTCCATTTCTTCATCATGCTGTTCCACTCTTATTGGTATGCATGTTTTGTGTTCGTCGTCTTCTTCGTCTTTCGTCGTTATGCTCTCCGTTCCTCCTTTTTTGCGTCGTCTTCTCACACTTCGTATTGGCATTCTTGCCATCTTGTCATCATGGTTCTCTCGTGCCTCCTCTTGCTGGCATCCTGCCACCGCTTCCGCTTCGCCCGTCTGCCCCTCTCATCCCCGCTCCCTGCGCCTCTTCCGGAGGAGGAGGAGGAGGAGGAGGAGGAGGAGGAGGAGGAGTGAGGGAGGGAGGGAGGAGGAGGAGGAGGAGGAGGAGGAGGGGAGGAGGAGGAGGAGGAGGAGGAGGAGGAGGAGGAGGAGGAGGAGGACGAGGATGAGGAACTTTTTGAACTTGGCGACTTGGCGACTGAACAGGGCTCCCGTTCCCCCCCTTAGGAGGCTCTGAGGGCGGGGACGGGCCTCGGATTCGAGGCACTTGGCTCGAAGAAGCGCCAACCAGGACCAGGCACCGAGCAGGAAGGCATTTTTCCCCGCAGATCGGGCAGTGCGAGAGCGACGAAGACGTCGCGCAGCTGATGCACCATCGAGAACTTGCTGGCAGCATGCCTCCCAGCGCCTCCTTTGGGGTCCACGCTCGGCCCTCGTCCCCGCCTAAATCAGCGCGCTTTGGGTCCGACGGGTTGGAACCGTGCAGCAGTCATGGGTGCGGTCGGACCGAGGTGTAAGGTCGAGGTCGGCTCGGGGAGGGTGCCCTAGTGCTCTTCGCGTTTCTGTTGGACGTTCTTGTCATCCCGGGGAGGGTCGCCTTGGATGTTCTGTGTGTTTTGGCCGGCGGAGGGTTTGATGTTCTTGACGGATGTTCTTCTGTCCTGGGTCCGGCTGCACTCGATTGCGAACACGACGAAGCCCCCTTCGAGAGCAAACCGGGGGCCGGGCCGCAGCATCGCCGACCTTCCGCGACCTGCCGCGGCCGCCCAACGGCGCGTCTGCGACCTGCTGCAGGCGCCGCTGGTGCGCATGAGGTACAGGCGCCGCCTGTACCAAGGGGCCCCTGTGCACATGACTATCCAGCTGCCTACGGCAAGGGGGCCTCTTGGAGGCAGTTTTGGGGCCTGCTGTTGGCCATTGTGGGGCCTCTTGTGGGGCCTCTTAGGGCCCTTCTGCACATGAAAATCACTGACCTCCTGAGATTGCGTTTCGAGTCTTGGCCGCGCTTCGGCGACAGACTACTTTCAAGGGGCGAAAGCCACCCCGACCCCCGCAGCTGGCGTTTACTAAACGGCCCGGGGCGTTTATTGCACAGCCCTGCCTTCTTCGATTCCTTCTGCGGGTGCGTTCACTAGACGGCTTCGCTTGTCGAAGTGATAATCATTCTAGTTGGATTTGCTGCTCTCTACTGAGATGCCGTTGCATCTCTTAGCATCGCTTTGGCAACAAACCGAATGTGCTTTCCACCGGGCGGCTCTTCGTGACGAGCGGCTCCAGTACCCACTGTACGATCAGAGGCCCGTTCTGGCCCGACAGCGTTGGGAACATTGCCACAGACGGGTGTCCAAGGCCGAGCAAGCGATCTTGGCCCATTCGAAGACCCCAGCTACGCAACACCACAAAAAGGGGTTGTCTGCGCCGACATTCGCGCGTAAGCTTTCGGCGGGAGGTCGCGTCTAAGCGCCCTCGTTTCCAATGTGGCGTGCTGCGCCAGCGGCCCGCATAAGCCACCTCGTAGGGTCATTGTGCCATCTCGTGTAAGACGTAAGACCCGTCCCTCTCGTCGCTCAGCTGTGCGCAAGGTCAGTGGCAGGGTGCCGGTTTTCGGGTGCATATGGAAGCACCCGAAGATTTTTTCTGCACGAGTGTGTATATGTATATGTATATAGTATATATATACATTTATATATATGCACGCATACACACATACATATATGTATACATATATATATATATATATGTTGTGATGTTGATGGGCGCCCCAGCTCACTCAGTCTGTTTCCGCCGATGCCGTGCTGTCCATGCAGAAGGGCCACGCCCAGCGAGAGGAGCGTCTGCGGCAAATCGACGGCCTTCGACAGATAAGTCTGGCGGCAAAGGAGACACACATACAAGCACGCACGCACGCACACACACACACATCTACACACCCACACATCCACGCACACACACACACCCACCAACACACCCACCCACAGACCCACCCACACATCCACACACATACCCACACACCCACACACCCACACCCCACACACCCACACACCCACACCCACAGACGCACCCCCCGCCCTCACACACACACATACACACACTTACACACAGACACACACACACACACACACGCACACGCACACGCACACGCACACGCACACGCACACGCACACGCACACGCACGCACGCACGCACGCACGCACACACACCACACACAACACACACACAAACCACACACACAATACACACAACGAACACAACACACAACACACACACACACACACACACACAACACACACACATACACACACACGCACACACACACACACACACGCGCGCGCACAGACACACACCACACAACACACAACACACAACACACACACACACAAACCACACACATACACACACACGCACACACACACACACACACGCGCGCGCACAGACACACACGCGCGCGCACGCACGCACGCACGCACGCACACACACCCACACGCCCACACACCAACACACCCACACACCCACACACCCACACGCGCGCACGCACGCGTACACGCACACGCACATGTACACGCACACGCACACGCACACGTACACGCACACGCACACGCACACGCACACGCACACAAACACGCACGCACGCGCACACACACACAACAAACAACACAGACCACACACACCACACACGCACGCACGCACGCACGCACGCACGCACGCATACACAACACACAACACAGCACACGGCACACAACACACAACACGCAACACAACACACACAGCACACACAACACACAACACAACACACACCGCACAACACACAACACACAACACACACATTCACACACACCACACATACTAGCCGATTCGATTGCTGGATTCGACAGGCGCAGTCCTTCGTAGCAGCTCTGAGGACCGCACGCTGATCGTCGAGGCAGTTGTTTCGGTGACGAGGTTGCTCGGTGCGTGATGGCGGAGGCGAAAGAGGTTGTTGCTCTTTTTGCCCACAGCAGCTGGCGGACACCCCCTGGGCTCTTTCACAAGTGGACCAAGGACGCCGACATGGTCAAGCTCGAGGCTATCCAGTCGGGCCAGGCTGCTGTTGACCCCGTGAATCTGAAAATGGACAAGTCGGAGCTCTGGTCCAGCGCCTGGACGGCCCCGCGGCGACGACACCTGGAGCCCTTCGCGGCTATCAACAGGCGCAGGCAGGTCGCCTACGAAGAGGAGCTGGCCTCGCTAGCCGGCGGCGCGCCCGGGGAGAAGTGAGGAGGGGCGGGCCTTCTCAGGAGGCTTGGAAGCTCCCCGGCCTTCTGAGAAGTGTTCCAAGCCTTCCCCGAAGACACAGAACAGACTTCTCAGAGGGCGCGAGGGCTTCTCAGAAGCCCCCGCCGCCTTCTGAGAAGGCCTTCTCCTTCTCACTTCCCCCCCCCTGCTCGCCGCCGATTTTTGAGGTAGGAGGGACCCCAGGTGGCCGTGCATCACAGGAGCGCCCACCAGGCTGTGTGTGTGTGCGCGGCGTGCGGCGCCCCGCCGAGCCACCGTGGGCCCGAGGCGGCCGTGCTCCCGATGGCGCAGCCACTGCTCGCCATCGCTCGGACGTCCATTCCCCGTGCACGTTTCGGCTTCGCGCGCGTCTTCTTCGCGATCGCCGCCGAGCGAACCCTCCAGCAGTTTGACAGGGCGGGGGGGAGGCGAGGCGCAGACAGCGGCTTGGAGTCTCGGAGGTCCGCGCGGACCCTTCGGAGGCCGGCGCGCGCCGCGCGCGGAGGGAGGGGGGCCCGGCGCTGCCCCCGAGAGGCGCGCGCGGGGGCCTCTTCGGAGCCTGTGCCCGTGCCCTGTGCCGCCCGTGTCGAGGATTCTGTTTCCCGGGGTCCCGCCCGTGTCGAGGATCGGGCGGGGGTCGGGCGGGGCAAGAACCACCTGGCATCGCTCGGACTTGTGCATTTTGTTTCGGCGAGAGCCATCGAGGACCACCCTGGACCATCGAGCAAAAAAATACACGCACGACACCGAAAAGTGCACGGGAAATGGACGTCCGAGAGACGGCAAGACCAGGGCAACTCCGTTCCAGAACGCTTTCAGAGCATTCCGGAACGCTCTGAGAAGGCCGCGGCGCCCGCGACATGTTCCACAGCCGTCGGATCTCAGAGACTCGCGACTTAACCTCCTCCGATCTTTATCCTCGTCCTGGCTTCGTCTTAGGGGGAGTGATTGTCAGGGCTCTTGGGCGTTCTGGTTTTTGGGGGTGCCGCTGGAGGCCTCCAGGGACCGCCGGAGGACCTCCGGGGACCTCCCCTCTGCTTCTTCCCTATCCCCTCCCGTTGCCTTCCCCCCCCACCCCCTCCCTGCTCGCCCCGCGACCTTTTCCCCTCATTTCCTCCCTCCCCCCTCCGCTTCTCTTCCACAGTAACTTAATATGGGTACGACTCTCTTCTCTCCCCCGACTACGTCCTGAAAGTGTCCCGCCATCTCCAGGCATAGTTTTCACACATTGGCTTTCACTGGTCTGTCTTTTACGTGCTTCTTCCTTTCGGAACGTTTGCTGTATTTCAAAACGGTGCTCCCTCTGCAGGGTTGGCCTCAATTCAGGATCAGCGCGTTTCTCCGGTTGCTCAGAGTGGTTGTTTCGTCCCAGCGCGAGCCACATTTCTAGATCCGAGTCCTTCATCGTCGGTGTCGCCCCAGTCTTTTCCCCTCCTCCACCTTCCTCTTGTCCTCTTGCTGTTCCCGTTCCTCCTGCTTCTGCTCCAGCTGCTGCTGTTCCTCCTCCTCCTCTTTTCTCATCGTCCCCCTCCTGCTCATCCATTACCTCTTCCTCCAATGTACACAGCCTCCCTTTGCATGATTGCGCCTGGCACGATATGGGGTCATTCGGGAGGTTCCAGGTCCGATCTGGGACTAGCCGGCGGATATAGAAACAAGCAGCGCAATTGGAAGGGATGGGTATGACTGGTAGGATGCCAGGTATGGCGCGAGCGCACCCAGCTGGTCCCCTCACCTCTCCCGTCCCCTCTGGGACCTCCCCCCCATCTCCTTCACATGCCACTGCCGCCCCTTTCTTCCTCGCCCTCCCTCCCTCCCTCCCTTCCCGTCTCCGCCTCCCCGCCCTTCTCCTCCTTCCTCCCCATTCGCCCCCCCGTCCCCATTCCGTCCCCGCGTCCCCCTATGCCTTCCCCGACGCCTCCCCCTCTATGCCTTCTCCTCGCTCTCTCCGACCCGCCTCCCTGCCCCATCTTCTGCCCCCTCCCTCCCCCATGTCTTGCCATCGCCCCCCCCCCCCCCCCCAATCTGTCGAAGTCTGCTGCTGCGCAGCGCGCAAGTCTGCCGCAGGCGCCTCTCGATTTTCGAGTGGCCGCTGGACGAGGGGGCGGGCGTCGAGAAGGACTGTGCCCCGCCACCACCAGGCCTCTCTCACGTTCTTTGTTTTTGTTTTGCCTCTCTCTCTCGCGCTCTCTCTCTCTCTCTCTCTCGACGGACGTTCTCTCCCTGTCTCTCATCGTTCTCTCTGTCGCTCATTCTTCCTCACATCCCTCCCTTTCTCTCGTTACCTCCCTCCCTGTTACATTCATATGTTGGTACGGTGTGTATATATATATATATATATATTTATGTATGATATTATTCATATTCAGGTACACATTATATATGCATATGCATATGTTTCTCTGTCTCTCTCTCTCTCTCGCTTTCTCTCTGTACCCATCTAAGATTCCTCTTTCTGTCTCTCTGCATTATAATATATATACGCTTTACTCGCTTCTCTCCTTCTCTTTCCCTCAACCTCTCTCGCTATATCCACCCCTTTCTATTTGTTTACCCTCAATGTCTCCCTCTCGTTCTCTCCTCCTGTCTCATGTGTATATATCGCTGCCGCCGTCATGCCGTCCATCCGCCATAATATGTTTATTCATATGTATATATATATTTACATATAGGTCTCTCTCTCTCTCTCCCGCCCGTTTCATTACATATATGTGTCTCTCGTGTTATTTCGTTCTCTCTCTCTCTCTCTTTCTCTCTCTCCCCCTTTCTCTCTCTACATACTCCTATGTTGCGCGCTCTCTCTCTCTCTCTCGTTCTTTCTCCCTGTCTCTTAACACCCGTTTTCGTACTCACTCTGTATCTACCTCTCTTCCACTCTCTCTCTCTCTCTCGCTTTCTCTGTCTGTCTGTCTATCTGTCTGTCCGTCGGTCCGTCCGTCTGCTTGTCTGTCGGTCTGTTCGTCTGTCTGTCTGTCTGCCTACTTGTCTGTGTGTCTGTATGTCTGTCTGTCTGTATGTCTGTCTGTCTGTCTGTCTGTCTGTTTTTCTGTTTCTCTCTCTCAATTCCTCCATGCCTCCTATTTTTCCGGTCTCTCTCGCTTTCTCACTCCTTCTCTCCCTCTCTCTCTCTCTCTTGTTTCTTTCTTTCTTTCTTTCTTTCTTTCTCTCTCTCTCTCTCTCTCTTTTTTTTTCTCTCTCTCTCTCTCTCTCTCTCTCTCTCTCTCCCGGAGGAGGAGGAGGAGGAGGAGGAGGAGGAAGAGTGGTCGGACAACGAAGACGACGACGACGCCGCGGCTTACGTCCCGCGATTCAGTCCAGATTTGGAGCGGTTTGCCATCACAGGGACGCGCCGACGCGGCCACCGCCTGCTCGAGGTCAGCAGCCTGTCCGCGGAAGCTCGGCGCCTCCCTCGCGCTTTGCCTCCTCGTGTGCGTCCTCCTCGTGTGCGCTCCCAGCGTGTTTGTCCTCCTGTGCGTCCTCCTCGTCCGCCTGCCCCTCCCCGAACCTCGCTTCCAGCTCTTCTTGCTGCGAATGTTCAGTCGGGCCTGTCCCTCGTCCCTCTACAGGAGGAATGTTCCAAACTATTCAAAACATAATCAGGGGACGATGTTTTGGCTGTTCTTGACAGTTTTGGAGCTTGTTCTGCCTATTTTTTCGTTCGTCCAAAATCCGCCCGTAGGAGGGCATGCCCGACCTCGTGCTAATGCTGTTTCTGTTGGGGCCCGGCGCTGGTAGGCGCCCCCTGCTCCTTTTCTTTGCCTCGTCATGCTCGCATTGCCCTCGTCGTCGTCGTCATCGTCGACCGTCTCAATTTGCTGGCTCGTTGTTGCCGTTGTGCGATGCTCTGCAGCGGCGCGCGGTGTCGAAGCTGGCAATAACAATGTACAGAGCGAGCTTGAACTTGGCCTTCACTTACTCATACCTCCGACTCGTCTGTCCTCCTCGTCTTTATCCCCGCCACTCCTGCTCTGCCGACAACAGCTCGTCTCGCTTCTGCCACTGTTGGGCGCCTCTCCTTCCGCCTCTCCTCCTTCCTTCTCCTCTCCCTCGGGCCCTCCTCGTGACATGCACCAGGTATGAGGATGGGGAGGTGGGAGTAAGAACGGGATGAAAGGTGGAGGAAGGGAGAAGAAGGAGGGCGAGGATGATGATGATGATGATGATGATGATGATGATGATGATGATGATGATGATGATGATGATGATGATGATGATGATGATGATGATGATGATGATGATGATGATGATTGCACTTATCCTAACGCGTTGTGCGCTGCATGAGTGGGTCGGGCCGCCTTAACCGTTTGGGCTCAAGGCGGAGCGGGGGAGCGGTCCGCGCGCGGCGCGGCTGTGGCAGCTGGCGCGGGTGGGGCGAGTGACGCGACAGTCGCGTACCTCCGCCAGGGCTCCGCCACTGCTGCGTGCCCGTGCTGCTCCTCGACCTGTCCAGCTTGTCCCGCGTAAACGTGCCCACCGCCGCCAAGCGTGAGCTGCTCAGCGTGCCCTGCTCTGGTGTGGCCTACGCCAGCCGCTGTGGCCCAGCGGGCGGCGCCGGAGACCCCGTCGTGGTGGCGTCCCTGTGCCGCGGCTGCGCTGCTTGCGAGCGGCTGGCGGAGCCGTGCGGCGCCTGGGGGGCCTTCGTGCTCGGTCGGATGGGCGGCACGCTCGGGGGGCTCCCTCGTGGCGCTGCTGCTCGCGAGGCTGGTCTGCGACGGAGTGGGGCTGGCCGAGGTGCACGGGTACGACCTGGTTCACCAAAGAGGGGTTTCCGAGGACGTGGCGCTATCGGCTCCTGAACGCGTCGGCACCACGTCGGCCGTCGTCCCCTACATCGAGAAGTACGACGACAACTACAGTGACGACGTGCCCTACGATGTGGATCCAGCTGGGGTGTATCGGTTTCGGCGAGAACCAACGGCGGCAGAAGAACATGTGTACCTCCGAGATGCAGAGCTGCTCGCGGATCATCACTGTCACACTGTGGCGGCCACGCTCGAGACGCCCATGGAGCGGGCCGTGGCGGCTGACGCCCAAGTGCTCCCCGCGATGTGCAGCGGAGCTCGCGGCGCGATCACCTGGGCGACATTGTCCGCTCGTGGACGCGAGGAGGACATCGGCAGAGGCTGGCTCGTGACAGGGGCCAGCTGAGCGTTCTGGTGCATCGAGGTCATCAACAATGAGGGGATGAGGGTCGATGGCCATGCCGATCGCTGTTTGGCCGTCGCGCAGCTGGAGTCGACGCAGTGGGGGGCGCACGAGCACTTGCAAGGCAGGCGTTTCGTCCGCTTGGTGCTGATCTTAGATCAGTGCGAACGTGACCAACCTGCATGACTGCGAGGCGATCGCCCTTCACAGGCAGGTGATTGAGTACTCGTACATGGAGAAGGTGAGAGAGCGAGAAGGGGGGAATCAGAGCGGGAAGTTTTCGATCGATGAGCAGACTCACCTTGCTGGCTCGGCTCGTATTTCGGACAGCTCGACGGCGCGCCCCGACTCGCTACAGTTCGCGAGGAAAGAAGTTGAGCATGGAGCTGCCCTGGCAAAGGGCCTCTGCGAACCTCGTGAAGAAAAGGAGGCCTTCCTGAAGGGCACGAAAGATGGACAAGGTTGATGGGGGCATGGAGCACCCCCTCCGCGGCTCCCGGCTCGCGGCCGATCGGGAGGCGCCTCACCGTGGCCGATTCGTCCGATCTCCCCTCGGTCATGATGAGCCCTCTCGACGCGTTGCTCGCAATCCCCTACCTCTTCCACTTCCGCCCGTCGCTTCCGATCGCGCTGCCAGTGGGATATTTCCGTCTCGTGGGCGCCGTCAGCGGGTTCAACGGCGTCCATGCTCGCGACCTCGATGTTCGGAGGGCTGTCGTGGCCTTAAATTCATTGCATCATTCTCCTGGCGTTGCGCCGGGCGGAGAGGGTCAACTCAGTGGTGGGTCTCTGTCGCTGATGCAGCAGCGCGTCGTGGAGCACGCGCGCGACTCAGATGGAGCGCTGGGGGGTTTCGCCGGCAGGCGTCGACACCTCAGAAGCTCCGCGGAGGCTTCGAGCGCCTGGCTTCTACGGTTCCGAGGAGGGCGCGAAGCTGGGGAACTACAATCCCGTTCAGCTCTCGTTGCCGTCCGCGGGTAGCCATGCGGTTCCCCTCGCGGACTTGCGCGGCGCAGGCGGGCGCAGGCGCGTCGCGGAGTTCGCTCGCGATAGTGTGCTACTTGCGGGGCCACCGCTGGAGAGGAGGAAGGCGCGCGGCGTGTGGACGCCCTATTCTGACCAAGCTCTTCGGCGACCGCGTGTCTGGAGCGATTCTGTCTCTCGGCTTCATCCGTGGAGTTCTTTTCTGCATTTACAGAGGATCAGCGATTGAGACTCGTGTGCGATGGCCGTCGTAGTAGTGTTTGGTTCCTTGAGCCCGACAATGCCACGTCGCGCACTCTCCAGTTGCCCTTCGAGTTGTGGGGTCGGTTTAACCCCCGCCGCGTCCGTGCTCGGGGCATCGGTTTGATTGAAATCAACGGTGAACCAGTGCGGGAAATGGCCTGGGTGCACCCGAGACTGCGCGTGCGCCCTACGGGGTGGACATCTGCATGGAAGTGGTGTCAACGTTCTCATAAGGGGTCAGTCGAACGTTGCGGAGGCCACCCCGCCGACCGATTGCAGGATCGTCGAGCCATTCCTTTGTTAGCAGGTGCGTGGTGTCTCGAGTAGGTCGACAACTTCGTCGCTATTTCGACTGTCGCCTCCAAGGTGCACCGCCTCGCGTCAGCCGTCGTCGAGGGGTTCAGGGAGGCGGGCCTGGTCGCGGCTGCTGACGTCGACGCGCCCGATGACGATCTCGCTCGGGATCGCACTGTGTTGGGATGGGACATCAGTTGCCGTGCGGCTGTCCTGAGGCCCACTCGGGCCCGAGTCTGGAGGGCCCGCCTCTGCGCGCGTGCCGCGCTGCGCCGCGGCCGTGTCTCGGGGCAAGTTCTCGAGAGGCTCGTGGGGCACATGGGGTTCACCAGCCTGGCGCGCAGGGAGAGACTCTCGGTCTTCGACCAGCCGTTCGCGTTCACCCGCCGCTTCTACAATGAGGAGGCCTCGCTGTGGCCCAGCGCGATCAACGAGCTCGCCATCTGGGAGGGGATCTCGCCGCTGCTATGGCGGAGCCTCAAGGCTTCCTGGGGGCCGACGCTGTGCGCCGCGGGCGCGTCTCCGACCAGTCTAGGGGTTTGCTCGTCGGCCATCTCCGTCGAGGAAGCTCGAGGCCTGGGCAGGCACTGCGAGCGCTGGCGTTTCTTTCGAGGTGCCCGTCTTCCTCCGCGTCTGCAGGCTGCCGCCGCTGCTGCCGTGTCCGACGGCCCCGAGGTGCAGCGGCTGTCCGGGGCGCACGACAATGGGCATGGAGGCCTCTGAGACATCGACGGGGGCCCGCCTCGCGCAGGTAGTGCCGCGGACGTTCTGGGCTCTGGACTCGGCGACGCTCGTGAGAATGTTTTTCGCGAAGTACCCCTGATATCGTAGGCCGCTGCGGGTGGAAGGTCGATGGGGCCGATGCCGATCCTCGAGGGGCGCGCCATCCTGTGCGCCCTCCGACGCGCCTTGAGGAGCGCTCAGAACTTCGGGCGGCGGGTCGCCGTCTTGGGTGACGCTCTTGCGGCCACCTGTGCAGTCTCGAAGGGGCGTTCGGATTCCAGGGCCATGTTGAGGGTCACTCAGTCGGTCGCCGCTCTCTGTCTGGCCATTGGATGCGCGCTGCACTGCCAGTGGCTTCCCTCGGAGTGGAATGCGGCCGATGGTCCCTCGAGGGGGCTCGCCGCCCCCTCGGTGCCGCAGCCGATGTCCCTCTCGAAGCCTCACGATGTGGAGTGGCTTCGCTCGTCTGGGCAGGCCCTGCCCGCCCCGCGACCTGGCGCCGCGGCTGGCGGCGATGCTGCTTCGACGGGCCCCCTGTCGAGTGGGTCGGATTCGAGGTAAGCTGCGATGGGCAGCCAGACCCGCGCCGCCTGCGGGGGGCCCGTCTTCGTCATCGGGTATTCCTTCGCGGGCAGCTCCCAGCTCCGGGCCTTCGGCCGCCCCCCGCAGGGCCCCGCGCGTTCCGGCGCGAGCCCCCCCGCGGGGCGCCAGGCAGGCCCGGGCGAAGGAGGCGGCGAGGCGGCGAGCCGCGGCAACTGCGGCCGACGGGATGACGGTGTGTCAGACGCACTCGGCCCGCCCCGCTACGTTCCGGCTGTGCCAAGACGATTTTGCTTCTTTTAAGCGCTGGCTGAAGCGGCAGGGCCGCCCTATGCCGGAGGGCGAGGCCGACGCCGACTTGGTGCTGGCACAGTTCTGGGACGAGATGTACCTCGACGGGGCGCATTTCAGCCTGGGGCAGCGCATGCTCGCCGCGGCGCTCTTCCACCAGTCCTCCCTGAGCCGAGCGGGGGGCGCGCGGGCGCCGCGGAGCCGCCGACCGCTTGAGGGCTGGCAGTGTCTGGCGCCTGCGGGTTCCAGGCTCGGGGTGCCGTGCGAGGTGATGTGCGCGATCGCGATGTGGACGTGGCTGCGCGGCGTCTGGGAGGAGGGGCTCGTGGCGCGGCTGACGTTCGAGATGTACTACCGCCCGAACGGGCCGTTCACCCTCCGCGCGAAGAACCTGGCACCCCCGCGGCGGGGGCGCGGGCGGGCGGGAGACGCTGCGTGCCCGCGAGCACGGGGTCGCCTCCAAGACCGAGGAGTTCGACCGGGCTCAGCTCCTGGACCTCGAGCGGCAGGCGGGCCTCGGGCTGGCCCTGGCCGCCCTGCCGGAGGCGCGCTTCTGTGCCCAGTGGCGACTGTCGGTGCTGAAGCGGCCTCTGGGGGCTGCCTCGTCTCCGCCGCTGTTCGCGATCAGCAGCAAGCAGGCGGGTCAGGCATTCGATAGGGCCGCGCAGGCGCTGGGGCTCCGGCGCGTGGGCGCGGTCTGCCGCTGCCAGCTTCGCCGCGGCGGCGCAAGCCACGACGCGGCGACCGGTGCCAGGATGCTGGATCAGATCCGCCACCGCGGCCGCTGGCGCGCCCGCAGCAGCCTCCGCCGGCCCGAGAAGGGCGCGCGGCTCGGCGAGGTGCTCGAACTTCTGGCGCCCCCTCTGCGTGCCCACGCGCTGCGCTGCGCCGGCTTGCTCGCCGCGGTCGCGGCCGGGCGTCGCCGGCCCTTCGCGAGCCCCTGAGGACGCCGGCCTTCGTCGAGGTCTTATCCGGCTCGGGCAGGCTCGGGCGCGCTGCGGCACATGAGGGCCTGCAGGTGCTGCGGTGGGACATCTCGTTCGGCGACTCTTATGACCTGGCGTTTGGCAAGAACTAGAACTTGCTGATGGGCTGGCTGTCGGGCGGGCTCATCATCGGGTTCCACGTTGCGCTGCCGCGCCAGGCTATTCTTCGTCGGGTCCCCTGGCCCCCGGAGAATCCGCGTACCTCGCGTCTTTGGCTGTGTAATTCAATCGTTGCTATCACTAGGCGAAAGAATGTGAGTACTGTGTACGCTGGTTTCTGTATGTGGGCCGGGCCTTTTAAAACGTCCACCACGTTCGACTCTTATCTTGTCCTCCACGCGCGCAGGTGCCTCGGCGGCCGCCGGATGCGCGCCCGCGCAGGCGAGGCCCATTAGCAGTTAGTTGGCAAACGTCAGGACGGTGTGTTTTGGACCGACGTTGCTGAACCATATCCAGCCCCTCTCTGCAGTTTCATTGCCGAGCGTTTCTGGGATGTTATTGCTGCGCGGACCGCTCAGAAAGTTGACAGGTTCCTGTCTGTTGCTTAAGTCCCGGCTATGCCAGTTGGCACTCGTGCAAGTATGGCGTTTTCTAGCTTGACGGTGCAATCTTGGCAGTGCGTGTTGCCGAAGCCACACATTTGTGACGTGGGTATTGTACCTCGTTGCATGCCCGCCCACTCGCTCCAGTCGGTGGCGCCACTGTATATAAAAACTCATCGTCGTCTGGCCTCGAAGGGAATCCTGAGCAATCGAAGTTATCCTGACGCGTTTTGCGGAGCATGAGTTGGTCCAGCCGTTTTAACCGTTTGGGCTCAAGGCGCCCACCACGTCGCCCTTCTTTCGCCTTGAGCAGCGCGTGTGGCCGAAGCCACACACTTGTGATGTGGGTCTTGTAACACGTCGCCTGCCCGCCCACTGGCTCCGGTCGGTGGCGCCACTGTATGTAAAAAATTCATCGTCGTCTGGCCTCGAACGGAAGCTTGGGCAATTATGATGGTGACGATGATGATGAGTATGATGAGGATGATGCTGATGATGCGACGAGGATGCTGATACTGAGGATGATGATGATGAGGATGATGATGATGCTGACGATGACGATGCATATGTTGATGGCGAGGCTGGTACTCGTGATGATGCTCATGGTGGTGCTGTCGATGAGTCTGATGATAATGATGTTGATGATGATGGTGAATATGATAAGGATGAGGATGATGAGGATGGTGAGGATGGTGATGGTGATGCTGATGATGGTGATGACGAGGATGAATGTGTTGATGATGGTGCTGATGATGATGATGATGCTCATGATGGCGATGCTGGTGGTGCTGATGATGATGGTGATGATGATGGTGATGATGATACTGCTGATGCTGATGATGCTGATGATGCTGATGAGGATGGGGTTGGTGACGACGGCGATGCAGATGATGCTGATGATGGCGATGTTGTTGTTGTTGTTGTTGTTGTTGTTGTTGTTGTTGTTGTGGATGCTGATGATGATGCTGGTGATGATGCTGGTGGTGGTAATGATGGTGGAGGAAGAGGAGGGAGGCGACAACGCAGGAGGGGGAGAAGAAGAAGGAAGAGGAGGAGGAGGAAGAGGAGGAGGAGGAGAGGAGGAGGAGGAGGCGAGGAGGAGCAGGAGGAGGAGAAAGGGAGGAATTTGAGGCGGGAGGAGGAGGAGGAGGAGGAGGAGGAGGAGGAGGAGGAGGAGAAAGGCAAGAGGAGGAGGAGGAGGTTGAGGAAGAGGCGGAGGAGGAGGAGGAGGAGGAGGAGGAGGAGGAGGAGGAGGAGGAGGAGGAGGCGGAGGAGGTGGAGGAGGAGGAGGAGGAGGAGGACGGGGGAGGAGGGGGGAGCAAGGGGAGGAGAAGGGCGGGGGAGGAGGGGCAGCAGCAGGAGGAGGAGGAGGAGGAGGAGGAGGAGGAGGAAGAGGAGGAGGAGCTGCAGAACTGATTTATGTACCCAAACTTCACTGTCGCGTCGATTCTACGAAAAGTGCGCAGACCGTTGCGTAGGTCTACGGGGCACTCTGCTCGCTTTCTTCGCAGGCTCGACGATGAAACCAATGTCCGGGTGCATTCAGTGTGCAGTCGATGTCCCTGCTTGAGACGTGCCGCTGTGTGGCCCCTCTGCCCCCGCCCCGAGCGCCCCCTCGAGCCGTGGCCCCCCCCTCCCCAAAGGGCGGGGTCGCCGCGATAAGTGGGCACGCGCACCGACGCTGGCCAGGCCCGTCCAGGGCCCAGGATCGATGCACACGCCTCCCTCGTCGAGCCAGGAGGAGAAGGGGGGGGAGGAGGGGGAGGAGGAGGAAGGGGAGGAGAACGTGGGGGGAGGAGGAGCAGCAGCAGGAGGAGGAGGAGGAGGAGGAGGAGGAGGAGGAGGAGGAGGAGAGTCAGGATGGGGGAGGTGGGGAAGGCGGCGGGGAGGGAGGAGAAGGAGGGCGAGGTGAGAGGAATCGGAGGAGGAGAAGGAGGGGGGAGGGGGGAGCGGGGACGAGGGGGCAGGAGTGCGCATGCTCGGGGGCGGCCTAACCGGCCCCTCGCAAACCATCCCCCTCCGTGACGTCCCGCCCAGAGGTACGTATGCGTCCGGGGGGAAGAGGCGTGCAAAGGCGAGGGTGGTGCCACGGACTGCGATGGTCTGCTGGGGGTCGGTCAGGCCGCGCCCGCTGCGCACGGATCCTGGGCCCAGGACGGGCCCGGGCCAGGATCGGTGCAGGAGCACACCTCTCTGTCCTCAATGTGGGGGAGCTCCCCGCCGCACGGGGCGTGCTCGCGTGACCCCCCCCCTGCGCGCGCGGGAGGACTAGGCGCCCCCCTGGTGGTCCGGCAGGGCGGCCGCGCCCGCGCCCGCCGCGGGGCGCGCCCGCGCGTCCGCGCGCCGCGGAGCGGCACCCTATGGATCCAGGGAAGCGTGTGCGTCTTCCCAGAACCGGCGGAGCTTCGAACCTGGGGTACATCAATTCTGGAGTCGACCTCCTCCTGGCAGCGCGCGCCACTTCTCGCACAACAGTGCCTACTCGCAAGGGTCAACAAGAAAACTAATACATGCCTCGATGCAACACAGGCGGGGCTGATTAGTAGGTCGGGCCTGCCAAGCCAAGGGTACCCTTCTGTCATGTGCATCGCGCATAGCGTCCTCTGCCTTCGTGGGGCAAGGGGATTATTGTGTCCTGTGGCTTCTGTAGGCCTCGGAAGAGTCTAGTGTCCTGTCACATTTCATGTACGATCAGCCCCGCCTGTAGAGCATGTTTGATTCGATGTAATGGATCCAGGCCGCTTGCGAGTGCCTACTATGCGAGTAGTGGACTTTGCTTGTCTACAGAGCGGACGCGGATGCTGTCGTGGACAGCGCCCAATCGGTACGATCGAAATGGGCAGCCAGATATCCGAGCATTCGAAGAATTTGAAGCGGCCGGTTTTGGCTTACTTTCAGCCTTTAGGGGGCTCTGAAACAGGCCACAGGATTGTAAGCAACTCGGTAACCGAGTACGGGCGATAATAGAACATACCCTCCTAAGGCCTTCTATTTTTATAATTCCCGTTCAACAGTATTTAAGTGTGGGGAAGAGCGCGGAGGCCGAACTTTCTAATCCACAGGGGAAGTTGCGAAACGAAGTTGCCATCATCTCATGTTGACTAGCAGCAGCATCAAAAACGCTGAGCATGGCCATGGTGGTCTCACCACATCAGCTTCCGCAATCACGATTGTGTGGCAGGGCTGTGGGATTCTCACCAGTTCAGCTTGCGCATGTCACGAACGTGCGGCAGGGCCATGTTCCCGAGTCAGTCTTGTGCCGAGCGCCCAGGATCACCATCATCATGATCATCGTCATCATCGTCATCATCGTCATCATCATCATCATCATCATCATCATCATCATCATCATCATCATCATCATCATAACTTACCTTCCCCGGGAAAATTCTCCATTATCCCCGCCAGTCCCCCGAAATTTACTATCCCCAGGTGATTATTATCGCCCGCGCAGGGTTAGGAGGGGATGTGGTCCAGACCTCCCGGGGCCCACGCACCGACAACCTTTCAGGGCCGGATGTCTAGGTACGGAAATCATGGGGACGAGAAGACCGACAGCATGATAGGTTTCCGTGGCTCCCTGGCGATAACGGGCGTGCCTCTGGGGGGGAGGTGAGGGGAGGGGTCTGGTGGTGTCACGTTTCGCGCCGGCGCCGTCTGGGACATGCTTAGGTGTTTCTTCTTTCCAGACGGCGCTGGCGCGAATAGTGACGTGATCGCGCCGGGGGGGTGGACGGGCGGAAGGCGGGGCCGGTACTGGCGTCATCTCAAAAAACAAAACGGGCCCATTTTGAGCAGGACTCGCCGTCGGCGTCTCCGTGGACGTTGTCCATTAGAGACAGAAGGTCGCCTGCCCAACAGCGGCCGCTGTCGGCCGCTGTCGCTGTTGGGCAGCGTACAGTCCGACCGAGGTATAAGATCGAGGTCGGTTCGGGGAGGGTGCCCTAGTGTTCTTCGTGCTTGTTGGATGTTCTTACGCACCCTGGGGGAGGGCACCCTCGGATGTTCTGTTTGTTTTGGCCGACGGAGGGTCTCATGCTCTTGAGGGATGTTCTTCTGGCGTAGGTCCTTATGCAGTCGCCGCCCGCACCAGGGATGGCGTGGTCTTCCAGGGACCGTATGGTGTCCTTGCCTTCTCGGGCCAGCTTCTGCCCGTTTCCCTGGCCAGCCCGTGGGCATGCCCCTGCGGTGGACTGACACCTGGATCCCCCCAAAAATTGTTCGGCCGCGCGCAGAGGGGGGCGCCGCTGTACCCACTGTCTCCGTGCCCATTTCGGGCGTCCCGTCGCGCGCGCGCGCGAGCGCGCAGCGGCGGCTCAGGGAGTGGGCTCAAGTCGGGCCTGTCCCTACAGGGGGAATCTTCAAAAATAGTCAACAGATAGTCTGGGGGCCATTTTTCTAGTATTTTGGGGCATCTGTGGGGCATTCTTTGCATCCTTTTTGCTTCTCGTCCGAAATCCCCCTGCAGGGGGACAGGCCCGACCTAAGCGCAGCGGCGGCCCAGGGAGCGGGCCCGTCGGGGGGCGGGCGGCGGCCCAGGGAGTGTCAGGAGGGGAAAACACACACACACACAGACACACACACACACACAAACAAACACACACACACACACACCGACACAATCCCAGGAAAATATGCAAAAGTATGGGAAGTGGGGGGGAAGACGAAATTCCAACATATGCAGAAACATATGGGAATCCTGCTATTTGTGTGTATTCATTTGTGGGCAGCGGGCTCCGCCCCCCGGGGCCCCTTCAGAGTGGGCTCGTCGGGGGGCGGGCAGCGGACCCAGGCCCGCGTGACGGGCCGGCGCCTCGAGATCGGGCCGGCTTCTGCTTCGAGGGGGGCCTCCCGGGGAGCAGCGGCCATCGCGGGCGGCTAGGTCTGTACATGTCAGGATGGGAAAAAGCACACAGACACAAGTCATCGTCGATTCCCCAGAAAATATGGGAAAACATGGGAAGTTGGGGGGAGCACAAGAGAGACCCAGAAGGTATGGGAAAATATGGGGAATCCTTTTTTATTTGTCTGTATTTATTTGCATGCCCCAGGGCCCTGCTCCCTGGCCTGGCCCATCCTGAACCCAGTGGCTGTGCATGCGCCCTCCGCTGGCCCAACCACGAGGGCGTGGCGCATGCACCGCTGCTGGGTTCCGGGTGCGTCCGGCCAGGGAGCAGTGGATGTGTATAGGTCTCGTCGCCCTCAAACCTTGGCATCTCTCGGAGGTGTGATTGTTTTTTTTCGCCTGGAGGGGCATCGAGTAGCATTCTGGGCCACCCTGCGGACCGAGAGCACGCACGGGGCCAAGAGGCGCACGGGGAGCGGACGCCCGCGCGACGGCGAGGCATCTGTCAGGGATGGAGCACTGCCCCCCCCCCCCCCTGGGATGGGGTCGTATAGGCCCCTGGGGCCGCGGACGCGGAAGCGAGGAGGCGAAGGCCTTCTCAGAGGGGCGGCGGCGCTTCTCAGAGGCCCCCCGGCCTTCCGAGAAGCTTTCTCTGTGCCTCCGGTGGGGGGGGGGCCGGGGAGTGTCCGAGCCTTCTGAGGCGGCCCGCCCCCTCTGCATTCCCCCCTCTGGGCTCTCCGCCGACGGCTGGCGCCGCTGCCGCTCCTCCCTGGACCTCTTCGAGGGTGCTTTCTGACGAGAATTTCGGGGCGACTCGGGCCGCGACGGCGAGGAAGGGCAGCGGCATCGGCGGTAGCCTTCCTGAGGGGGTGCGTCAGGGGGGGTGACTGGCTCACGGGGAGGAGTGGGAGGAGGAGGACGGGAGGAGGAGGAGGAGGAGGAGGAGGAGGAGGAGGTTGAGGCGGAGGAGGAGGCGGAGGAGGAGGAGGAGGAGGAGGCGGAGAGGAAGATGAGGAGGAGGAAGAGGAGCAGGAATAGGTTGAGGAGGAGGAGGAGGACAACGAGGACGAGGACGACGAGAGGAGGTTGAGGCGGAGGAGGCGGAGGAGGAGGAGGAGGAGGAGGAGGAGGAGGAGGAGGACGGGATAACTTCCCCCCTGGGCTCGCCGCCTAGAGTGGGCGCGGGGGCCGCAGTCTGCTGCGCGCGGAGGGTCTCGGGCCCGCCGCCCAGAGCACCGCCCTCGAGGCGCGGCCCCTGCGCTCCTGCGTCGGGGGGCGCCAGGGAAGCCGGGCGCGGGCAGGACGCGGGCCCCAGAGGGGGCCCCCCCGCCATTGAGAACGACGCGATGATGGCGTGGCCTCACTGAGGCCCCCTGCCCCTGCATCAGGGGTAGCAGATCTGGGCGGCTTGGCCCGACGCATCTGCAGACAGATTCCTCCCATCCCTGATGTGTTGGCCCCCCCCTGGCTTGGGTCCCCTCCCGCAGGGTCAGTGGTGCCATTTTTGGTGAACCACCCTGGGCCCCTTCACCGGGAGGGCGCGCGAGCCATTCTGCGAGGCGAGGGAGGAGGGCGAGGAGGGCCCCCCAACAGTAGCCCTCTGGGGCGCCGAAGGTGTACGGAAGGTGCACGTTTCGTCGCCCCCCCCCCCGAGAGAGAGAGAGAGAGAGAGAGAGAGACGAAGCACAGGGGCCAAGACCCAGATGTCGTGGGATCTTGTCGATGCCGATCTTGGTCAAGGTCCATGCCGGCCGTTGCCGATCTGCGAGGATCATCCATACTCGACGTTGACCAAGATCGGCACGACGTTTCCGCGTTCAGTCTTGATCATGGCCCCCGTTTTCTGCCCCTCTGCCTCCGCTGATTGCCCCCCGACTACGCAACGCCCAAGGGCGAGCGGGCTTGAGCCCCTCTTGAGGTTTCCCTGTCATCTCCACGGAGGCTCCCGCGGGCTTCCAGATCCAAGCCCGGCTGGACACTTTTTCCCTCTTCTGGGGACCGTTGGGAGCGATTTTCCTCTGACCCCACCTCTGCCCCTACGCCTACCCCACCTTTACGTCCATCCGACCAGAGCACTCCTCCTCCTCCCTCTCCTGCTCCTCCCCCTCCCCCTCCTCCTCCTCCTCTTCTTTCTCCTCCTCCTCCTCCTCCTCCTCCTCTTCTTCCTCCTCCTCCTCCTCCTCCTCCTCCTCCTCCTCCTCCTCCTCCTCCCACTCTTCCTCCTCCTCCTCCTCCTCCTCCTCCACCTCGATGCCCAGCGTGGCGTGAGAGGCTGCTGGCCCCGTGGGTCGGGGCCACCCCCCCAGACAGCACCCGACAGGCTGCCTCTCACCGCGCAGGCATCGGCGAGGGGCGAGCGACGCCACCCGCTGGCAGGGCGACGGGACTACAGCCCCATGGGGGGGCGGCCGGGTTCCCGGGGGTCGGGCGCGCGCGGATTCAGATCGGGACGCCCGAAATGGGTACGGAAAGAATGGGTACAGAGACCGACAGCACGTCCTGTCCAGTTTGAAAAGGGCCTCGCTGTCGGTGTCGCCGCGACCTGTGTCCACTTGAGACAGAAGGCCGCCTGCCCAACAGCGGTCGCAGTTGGCTTGGGACAACATCTGTTGTTGGACATTGTATCCATTTTCTCCGTACCCATGTCGGGCGTCCAAGAGATGGGAGCGGCAAAGAGGGGGGCGGTAACTAGGGGGGAGGTGGATATCATGGCGGAGGCCATGGTATCCCCCCAGATATCGTGGCGCCTCTTTTTATTTCAATGCGTTCCCCCCCTGGGCCGCGCACATGCCACCGACCATGATTTGCGCACCCCCCTCTTGGACGCACCCCTCCCTGTCCGCCCCCGAAAAAGGTACAGTCGGACCGAGGTGTAAGATCAAGGTCAGTTCGGGGAGGATGCCCTACTGTTCTTCGTGCTTGTCGGACGTTATTGTGCATCCTGGGGAGGGTACCCTTGAATGTCCTGTGTGTTTCGGCCGGCGGAGCGTCTCATGTTCTTGAGGGACGTTGTCCTGGTCTGTGTCCGACTGTTCCGATACCGCTACCAAAGACTCGTTTTTCCCTTCTTGGGCCTCCTGGGAGGCCCTCGCCGCCACGGCTGGATTCGCCTCGAGATGCTGCTCAGAACGCACCCCAGGAGAGGTCTAGGGATTAGCGGTATCGGTACCTTTTTCGTTCCCGAGTATACCTCGCGCACGAGTACCCCCCCTTCCCTGCTCTGACGGAGGAGGAGGAGGAAGAGGAGGACGAGGAGGTTACGCTTCGGGTGTGTGCGCCTTGGAGCCTGCGCAAGGACAGGTCGAGGAGGAGGAGGAAGAGAAAGAGAAGGAGGAGGCGGTCAGTCCTCGGTCCGCGCTTCCTTCTTTCTTCTTCTTGACACGAGGTGGGCAGGAAGGGAGGGGGCATGGGTCACAAACAGACGCAGCCACAAATAGAATGGCAGAAGGAGAAAACATACACAGACACAAATATGCGTTGATCTCAAGGATGCAATGGGAAATCTGGAAAGTGGAGGGGAAGACGAACACTTAGAACAAACATGGAGACATGGGGGAGTTTGGGATTTGTGTCTATTCACTTGTGTGTCCCTGGGCCCCGTCATTTGGGGGAGGAGGGGGGAGGACATGGGGAGGAGATGGGATGGGTCGGCATCGGGATGGGAGGCTGGATGGGGGGCAGGGGCCAGCGCCAGCAGCCGGGGCCCCCGGGAACGGGCGGCCGCCCCTTCGGCGCACGCCCGCGGCGGGGGGCTCTCCCCACGTTTCGCTGACTGCTCTCGGGGAACACCCGGCTTCAACCCACCGCAGGGGCAAACGCAAGGGCCGGCCAGTGGAGCTGGCAGAAGATGGGCCGAGAAGGCAAGGGCGCAAGACTGTCTTTGGAAGACCCCGCCATCCTTTGTAGGGGCACCGTCCTGTGCTGAGCCGCCAGGAGGCGCCTTCCTGCGCCGCCCCTGGCGCACTCCGCGCGCCAGGGAGGGGCGCCCAGTGCCGATCCAAGAAATCCGCGTGGACCTCCGAATTTAGGTGTTCAGGAGTGGCACACCTGTGCAGTCGGACCGAGGTGTAAGATCGAGATCGGTTCGGGGAGGGTACCCTGATGTTCTTCGTGTATTTTGGGTACTCTTGTGCAACCTGGGGAGGGTACCCTAGGACGTCCTGTGTGTTTGGGCCTGCGGAGGGTCTTATGTTCCTGAAGGATGTTCTTCTGTCCTGGGTCTGGCTGTAGTCGCCGCCCCCACAAGCGATGGCGTGGTCTTCCGAGGAACTTATGGCGTCCCTGCCTTCTTGGGCAAGCTTCTGCTTAGAGTCAAGACGCTGAAATAATGAACAGTTTGGGTACGACAGGGGCTCGATGTTCCTTAGGTCATTTTGTGGTTGTCCCTCTAGCCTTCCTCGTGCACGCTGGCGCTTTTGGGGCCAGAAAGGAGCTTCGTTCCTTATTTACCGTTCCTTATTTCAGCGGCCCGACTGTAACTATTTCATTGTCCAGCCCGTGGATTTGCTCGTGCGGTGGGCTGAAACCTGGATGCCCAAGGGTTTTTCGGCCGCGCGCAGAGGGGGGTAGGGGAAAGGGGGGGGAGGCCTCTTAGAAGCACCACTGCTTCTGAGAAGGCGCGGGCCCTGTCTGTAGATGCAAGGCCCGCGCCTTCGAAGAAGCAGCCTCCTTCGAAAAGGCCTTCCCTCCTCCCCCCCTACCCCCTTGTGCGCGCCGCCAAGTTTTGCGTCCCCACGCTGCATCCTTATGATGCGCGGTGACAGCAAGCGTTTTGCCAGGCGTCCGCGCACGGCAGACTTCCGCCAGCGTGGGATTCCCTGATCAGCATGCAGGTGGCAAGCTTGACATTGGAAGTGCGGTGTGCGATTGTGTTCGCACTTCGGGGTATGCCCCACGCGCCGACTGTACTAGCTGATTCACGCGTGGCAATGTTGGACGATGTGTTAGACACTGTGCCCGTATATGCTAGTTTTGCTTGCCGCGCCTGCTCCAGTGGAAGGGTGTGCGGGCACTCGTCTTGCGCCCCACATCCTGCATCATTGGGACAGGAGGAACCAGCCGTGAAAGCATGCCTTGCCACGGGAAGTAATCACAGCGCGCGAGCAAAGACACCCAGACATCCAACGTCATGTTTTTTCGTGACGTGGCCCCTCATACCGGTCGACCCATCTGGACCAATTTTTGTCCTGGCCGAAAGTGGCATTCAGTGGGCAATTCATGGAAACGCCAGCTGTCTCGTCCTTTTCTGTGACAACAGACGTCTGCCATTGTTATGATAATCGTCATCACTTCTCTCTCTCTCTCTTTCCCACACACACTCAACCGCTTATACTCACATCGTCATCGCAATTATCAACGCCGTCTTCCGAATCACCATCGCACGATCAACATGATTACCACCATCCCATTCCTCACAACCACGATCACCATCCCATCATCGCCAGCAGCATCCCAGAGTCCTCACGCACACTCACACTCACAGCACCATTAACAAATTCGCTGCCACTCGCACACTCACACATTTATCTTGAAGGAGTCTCCAGCGGGAGCCTCGCCTGTGACTGTTCTTTTGTTATTTCCGGGCGTAACGAATGTTACCCCCCCCCCCCCGCCCCCCCCTCACGTCACGGTAACGCCAGCAAACCCGCTACAGGCGTGAACGTGTGCAGTTTCCCATCGAGGAGGTGTAGGAGGCGAAGCAGAAGCAGCAGAAGGAACAGCAGCAGGTGGAGGAGGCAGAGGAGGAGGAGGAGGAGGAGGAGGAGGAGGAGGAGGGAGGAGGAGCTGTGTCGGAGGTGAGAGGGGGAGGATGAGGAGAGGAGGAGAGAGGAGGAGGAGGAGGAGGAGGAGGAGGAGTGGGAGGAGGAGGGGGAGGAGGAGGAGGAGGAGGAAAAGGAGGGGGTAAAGGAGGGGGAGGAGGAGGAGAACGAAGACGACGACGACTGACGTGGCCCGGAGGCTCGGAGAGGTGCACGTCGACGCGGAGGCCTTGTGGGGCACACGGTTCTTGCCGCCGGTGCTGCGGCAACAGGTGGCGTACAGAAACGTTGTGGTGCACGCAGGCATCGGGGTGCACGCAGGGCGAGTTCACACAGATAATGTGGTGCACGCAGGCACGGTGGTGCACGCAGGCACGGTGGAGTACTACCTACTTCCACCTGCCACGATTTTTCATTACCTAGCTTTACTTACCACTGCCTAGGGCGATTTACTAGTACCTACTAGTAGCCACTAGTTCGTACTATTACCGAGTGCTGCCTACTACTACTACTACTACTACTACTACTACTACTACTGCTACTACTACTACTACTACTATTACTACTACTACTACTACTACTACTACTACTACTACTACTACCAACTACTACTACTACTACTACTACTACTACTACTACTACTACTACTACTACTACTACAACTACTACTACTACTACTACTACTACTACTACTACTACTACTACTACTACTACTACTACTACTACTACTACTACTACTACTACTACTACTACTACTACTACGACTACTACTACTACTACCACCACTACTGCTACTACTACTGCTGCGTCTGCTGCTACAACTACTACTACTACTACTACTACTGTTAACTAGTTCGTACTGCTACAACTATTACTACTAGTACTATTACTACTACTACTACCACAACTACTACGACTGCTACTACTACTACTACTACAACTACTACGACGACGGCTACTACTACTACTACTACTACTACTACTACGACTACTACTACTACTACTACTTCTACTACTTATACGACTTGTTCTACTACTGCTACTACTACTACTACTACTACTACTACTACTACCCTACTACTACTTCTACTACTACTACGACTACTACTACTACTACTTCTACTACTACTACTACTACTGCTACTGCTACTGCTACTACTGCTGCTACTACTACTACGTCCACCACCATCACCACCGCCACCACCACTACCACAACCACCACCGCCACCACCACCACCACCACCACTATTACTACTACTATTACTACTACTACTACTACTACTACTGCTACTACTACTACTACCACTACTACTACTACTACTACTACTACTACTGCTACTACTACTAATACTACTACCTACCTACCTACCCACCTACCTACCTACCTACCTACCTACCTATCTACCTACCTACCTACCTACAGACCTACCTACCTACCTACCTACCTACATACCTACCTACCTACTATTACTACTACTACTACTACTACTACCACTACTACTACGACTACTACTAATACTACTACGGCGGCGACGACGGCGACGATTGCTGCTCTTACTACGACTACTAGTACTACATCTGTTTCGCATTGGCAAACAGCGTGGTTGTGTTGGGTGTTGCCGTTAGTCGTTAGTAGTCGGGTCAGTTGCTCAGGATCTTCTGCCGCAAGAGCGTCATTTGTTGCATCAGGTTGGCACGACCTCTCGCAATATTTATGGCGATAACTTGGCGCTTGTGGCACACGGCGTTCTGCACATCATTGTTACGTAATTGTGTGTTTCAGATTCTACCTTGGTCAGATCATCGGGCTATCGATGTGACGTGTTCCAGCGTGATGCTTTTAAGTTGTGTGGCTGATCGCAGATTTATGCTGCACGTTTCGCACGAGGGCGAGCGTGTTGGCCTGTTCATGGTTGTTGCAGGGATGCCACTGAGCATAAGTTGTCGAGCTATATACCCGCGGCCTATACAATCTAGAACATGTGTGCACAGCGTACTTACGCATGCGCTGCTATATTCAGCCTTCGAGCCGAGCATTCCCCAGTATGCCACTCGGCGCATACGTCGAGGCCGATGGGGTAGGTGACGTGCCGAATATCTGTTCCGTGGAAGAACCAGCAGTGTTGCAAGGGGTATTGGGTCTGACTGAGTGGATTTAGGTTGCAGCAGAAGGGAGCATGAAGTGAACAAGAAGGCGACAGGGCGATGACACACAACCTGGAGCAGGATGACGTTAGCATTTGCGACCCGCGCACCACAGCTACAGATGCCCCATTTGAGCCCGAGCTTGCCTGCAGATCGTAAAGTGTGGAGGCAGGAAAACAGATCGAACACCTCACCCGCTTCGTGCTCCGAATGCCGCCCGTCTGAGCCAGCCTGAAGGTCGTGTTCAAAGCTGCTGTAGGGGACAGCATGCTTGGAGAGGCCTTGCGGTCGGTTCCGCCGACCCTGAGGGGAGATCGGGAGGCGGCCCAGGGAAGGCCACGAGGGAGCCGAGGAGCGCACGACGCCATGCCGACGATTTTCCCAGGACGGCTTGACGAGCGCCTCGAGTCTGGAGCAGAGACAGGTCACCGTGCCACCTCTATGCAGTGGCCTTCGGCCCTGGGTGGGCCAGAGGCCTCTTGAAGGCATCTAGTGGTCTCCTGCGGGGTCCCTCGCAGGCCTCTTGGACTCTTGGGGAGCTCTGAGGGACTTCTGGAGGCTTCTTGGAGGCCTGTTGGGCGAAGGGCTCGCAATGTCAGTTTCTGGTTCCTCTCATGGGGTTCTCTTCGGTCGTCTTGGGGGTCTCTTGGGTTCTCTTGGGCCGTCTTGGAGCCCCCCTTGGGGGCCCTTGTGCCGTCTTCGGCGATTTTGGAGTCTCTTGAGCCGTCCTGGAGCGTCGCCGAACAGGCCAGAGCGCTAAAACCGTTCAAATCATTCAAAAGCATTTGAATCGTGTGTCGTGAGGAGTCTCGTGTTGCCGTCTTGGGGCGATACTGGACGTCTTCGGTTTAAATTGCCGAAAGAGGGCCAACTTGGCCCGAAGATTTAAGGGGACGGGGAACGCTTCGCCCAGGTGAGGGTGCTCCTTTGGGACACACCCCCACCTTCGCCGCAGTCCCCAGCCCCGCGGGGAAGGGATCGAATGGAAGGTGTTTCCTTTCCACTCGATTGCGATATGTATTGATTTGTATCGGGTTGGCGTTGTTGGGGGGCCAGAGGTGGCCGCTACGAAAGGAGTAGAAGGAGCAGTTTCGGCTCGAAGAGCGTCTCCCGGGACCACCCTGGGATGACCCGCCCGAATTTCCCCCCCTCGTTTGTGGTCAGCGGCGAAGGCGGACGCCAACGCGGCCGATCAGCTTGGTGGGCCGCGCCGGGCAGAAGCTCGGTCGACGCGCGGAAGAGGAGGAGGGCGGCCGCAGAGGGGAGAACGCGAGGGCAGGCCTCGGGCGCAGAGGATCTCCGCCTCGAGGAGCGCACAGACTTCCAGGCGCCGAACGAGGCCAGGGGGGAAACGGGTCCCGAGAGGGAAACGGTCTCGAGGTTTTTAGCCGTTTTCGGGCTCTCGGGGCCCTCGACGGGCCCCGGGACTGGCAGAAAACGGCTCAGGATGAACAAGTGGTCCTTGGGAAGGCCTTGGGGCCCAGGACTCGTTTCCCGCAGGACCCGTTTTCCCTACGCCAAGAAAAACGGCGTATTGGAAGATGAGCGACCAGTGCAAGCAGTTGAAGGGGATGGCGGCGAAGTACTCACCAGAGCCGCCATCCCCTGGGCGGAAGGCAACATGCGAGATTTCCCCTCACACACGCCGGCAGGGTCGGCGGATGTTCCACTGCGATAAGCCTTCTCGGCATTGCGCCTCGTCGTGGGGGTACTCTGTGGGCTTGTCGAGTCGCCCACGGGCTGACAGTACCGGGACAGTCAGCTGCTATTTTCGGGGCGGGAAAGGAGGATGAGGATGAGAGACGTTGCATTGATTGATCCTCGATTTTCGAAGTTGGGGGTAGCGCACGGGGCCGATCTCGAGTTGCCGTGCACGGCTTCCCGCTCGAAGCCCGCGCAGCGGGTAGCCTTTACTTCACTGCACAGCGGGTAGCCACAGGCAGTGAGAACATAGGCGCCCTGCGCTTCACAAGAAGAGAGGAAGGAAGGAATCGAAGGAATCACCGATCGCGTTTCACTAATTACTCGCAAAGTGCCAACTCGCCAACGTTCGAATAAACACATGTTCGCCCCGTTGAACCCCCGCGGTGGATCCAGGCCAGTTGCGAGTAGTTACTCTGCGGGCAGTGTGACACGCTTGTCCAAGGAAGGAAGGGAGGAAGGATTGAAGGAAGAAATGAAGAAAGGAGGAGGGGCGCAT